CCCACCATGGCATCTGTGTTCCCTACAATTCCCTGCTATTTCTTCTGTTTCGTCGAACCCACGCTGCTTATCCTTGCATTCGCAACAACCTGAATATTCCCATCGTCCTAAGTTACGTGTACACCCAGTCAAAGCTCGCACGCACCACTGTGTCGTTTGCTGCCAACCGAGCGAATCCTTATATTCCAACTCAGCAATCTCTTCTTCTTGATTGCAGTCATCGAACTCTACATCTTCTACTCAACCACAGATATTAAGGCAGTGCAAGCTTTGCTAACAGCCCTTTGGTAGGGCGACCTAGGACACTTAGGAGTTACGACGTGGTGTATGGGCGCGGCGGCACTGCGCAATCCACGACCTTGGACCTTAGAGAACTGGGGAAATATCGCGATCCCTACGCTTTTATTTACCAGGACTCGGACTCAGTGCACAGGGAATGCGGGGCTGGCTACTGAGACAATTCTGGTACGGAGTACTATCCGCATTGTTGTATGACGAAATGATCTTCGGCCTCTTGCTAAGCCGAGACCGAAGCTCCGAATCTGCTCCCTTTCCCGCTTTGGGATCCATCCTATTGGCAGAACTAAGGATGGGACAACTGGCGGGTCCCGCTAGAATTCCCGGTCCGACCACAGGCACCAGTGTATGGACAACTGTAACCAGGCGCCTGGGTAGACGACCGAAACAGCCAGCAGCTGGCGCATCAGGACACGACGCTGGTAGTGCCTATTGGTGCGAATCATCAGCACGATTTTCTCCATATGTACGAGACAGGAAACGAGGCCATTTGGACAGACATGTTACCGGGACATGAGACACACAACGGGTTTTTCGTCAGCTGTCGAATAGAGAGCAGCTTCGGTCAGACAGACGTTCCGCGAGGCCCTCGAGCAAGATGCGCTGCACTACCCTAAACATGTTTTATCATGGAATTAAAGAATGACCTGATTTGCGTTCAGTTCTCCGTCCCTGTCTGGACTGGGCCCTTCACTGGCATCACTCAGCTTTTGTGAAATGTCTTCTTGCTCCTTCCAGTCACGGGAGAGCTATTCTGTGGGTATACCCAAATCAAATGCACCCACAGAATCCTCTTCAATTTCAGATATATGTTCTAGTGTAGATAATGCCTGGAACCTCTGCATATTTATTTTTGGTTCTATTTCTGCCGAATATGAGTCTTGCTTCGCTATTTTTCAACGGTTCTTGGTTAAGCCCAAGCTCCTAATTAAGCTCTTGATGTTAGCTAACTGCAGATAATCACTGCAAAGACAGGGCTTACACCTGTCTATGTATGTTGATTACAAAAGAGCTATTATAGATTAAAGAACTAGAACAGAGAATGCCATGAAAATATAGTCCATTCAAAAAGCGGAACAAAGTAAGTGGGAGTACTGATACTGCAGAACATCAAGCATCGTCACTAACAAATTCGATCAGCCCTGAAACATTTCTGTTATTCTTACTCGAACAGAAAACCTTCCCTTGACAGGGTATGGCAATCCCTTATCACGGCCCAGCTTTATATTCTCCTCTTTCGTATCTACCAACTCAAGGTCAAAGTTCCGAGCAAACATGGCCAGTGTAAGATATATTTCCGCATAGGCGAGACTTCATGATGAGCAACAGTCCGGAAAACGATTGGGAGATGACTTACTTCATGCCCAGACACTGTCTGCTTCCTTTACCAAAAGATACCATGTATTTCCTCAGGTTGAGACCCTCTGTAGTTGCTCGGATCCATCGCTCCGGATCAAACTTGTCAGGACTGGGAAAGATAGATGGGTCATGGTGGACGAAGTATACCGACTGGCTGACGGGTGTCTGTAGAATGTAGCTTGTATAAATAATGAATCCACCTACCTAGGAAGGTATAGCTTACTCCTGGTGGAATCACAAAGCTTTTGTACAACAGTGCTTCGCTCGGGGCGATGCGAGCCAATCGACTGCTGAGTCCATACGACAACCGAAGTGCCTCTTGAATAACCCCTGACTGGAACCAGTGAGACTCATTCCATTATTGCAAAACAGCTTGGACTGACCAGGAAAGGCAATCTCTCTAATTCTGCCCACTTTGGCTGACTGGCTGGCGAAGGCATCACCTGCGTCAATTCATCGAACAATTTCTGCCTCAACCCCTGGTCCCTTGCCAGATAGAATGCAGCAACAGATAAAGTTCTTGCTGTTGTCTCTGTTCCAGCTCCGAATAGTACCGATGCTTCGTCCACAAGCCGGGCCAACGTCCTCTCCTTTTTCGGTACAGATTCAGCTGTCAGGGCATCAAAGATGGTTTCTGGTCTGCCCGTGGTCTTTGCTTTCTTGTTTAGAGCATCAGCAGCCCTCTTTCGAGTCCGGAGTCTTGCGTCGATCATCTCCCCAAAAAGACCTTCTGGAAGGCCCAGCATCTCAATTATCCAAAAGGGAGGCCTCGAAAGCATGACTGCAAGCATGGGTAGGGAGCGATTGATATGAAAAATGCGAAACAACGAATCCAACGCTTCCATCATGTCGTTCTTGAAATCAGGCACGTCCAGATATCCTAAGCTTTTTCCATGTGAATAATGCGTGATGACATCGGCAGTCAAAGCCGCAAATACAGATGGAATGCTCAAGACCACCTTCTCCTGAAATGCTCCCACAAATCGCTTCCGTAATATGTTGACTTTTTCCTGTATAGTCTCTTCAAGATCCATCACAGACCGTTTGGAGAAAAAGTTGTTCAGTAAGGCCCGACGGAGCCGGTGCTGCTCATGATCGTTTGTCGATGCCATCGCACCTGGAGTTAAGAGTGCGACGGTAAAAGCTGGATCTTTATGTCGAACTCGTTTTCCACTTGTGTATATTTCATCATAAAAGGCGGGGTCTTTGATATGGATCTCTCGTGGATTAATTCGAACGATTGGTCCTGGAAGCTTTTAATTATTACAGTTGGCCTTGATGGTGTATATAATTCCTACACGTACCATATTTATCGTGCATCCGTTCGATCTCCCATATATACATACCACCTTTGAGCACATCATAGTATATCTCGGGCAGATATGAGATGGCAGCGAGCTTCGGACCTGGGAACTTGGAGAGTGGATGAAGATATAGGCGGTAAATGGTGCGTGTGGTGATATACACAAGAACGATCAAGACTGACGTGGAGATAAGAGGCATGGTTCAAAGCTGGAGGCCCGGACTAAAGGATAGTTGAACAGCATTCTGTTTTATACCAAGTATATGATTCTAAAGATATGTAATACAATCTGGGCCATATACTTATGAGGTCTTGGCGTAAAAGTACACTGCATTAGCGTTGAACCCAATGATAATCGCGGTGGATAACAAGAGGGGGTATCTGACAACGCAATACGAGCCTTATTGGCTGAGTAAGAGAAGCAGCCCTCCAGGGCTGGAGAATTCGAGATGAACTCGTCCCCCTTTTCCCGTCCCTTCCCCAATACTGAGGTCAGACACCATTTTTCCACTCCAAGCTCAGGCATCTTTGAACGCAATGCCCACAAAATGGGCCACTGAGTCCGACTGGACCGAACATAGGGACACTATAATAAGCCTTTACCGTCAAAAGTCCCTTGCAGAAGTCATGGAGCACATGCAACGAGATCACCAATTCCGAGCTACGTAAGAGCGCTGTTTGTTCCAATCCTCAACCTCGCTTGAAAGCTAAACCATCCGTTCTATAGAGCGCGAATGTATAAAGCAAGGCTGAAGACATGGCGTATTGGCAAATACACCAAGCGGAGCACCGACAAGATACCACCTGCAAGCGTAGATGACGCTACTGTGTCCCGAACCCCAAGGCGACCAATGCCTAGCGTAGACCCAGCGCTCGGAGCACCGGGCTCCCAGCAGAAAGTTCTGGATTGCCTGAAGATCCTAGAGAAGTACATCAATGTGAACTCGACTGGCGGGCGGTGGGAGGTGTCATCTACATTCATGGCCTCGCTCCAACATAGCGACTGGTTGGCACAGATTACCACAGTTACAATATTTCTCAAAGGAGGACAGTTACAGGACGGGTTTCGACTACTAGGTGGTTGTTTCGAGGCCTGCAAAACAAACCTCAAGGCAGAAAGTCCCTTGCTCACCTCTGAGATCTTCATGGGGGCTTTTCAACTTTTCACCATCTCGCCTAGCTTAGGATGGTCATTTTTGAAGTACATTCGCGATCTAAGCGGCATCGTTCTGGATATGGCTCATCCGCTGTTTCTACTACTATCCAAGTATTTGACCTTGGACAAGGAAGCATTTGCGAACTGTAGTGACCTATTCTTGGGCTGTTTCCTCGACCTTATGGCGAGATGTGTCCCAGGCTGGGACCAGTCGCACCGTGGCGCACTATTATTGACAACCGGTCGTATTTTCTTACTTAGTCTCATCGAATTCTCGCAGTATGAAGAGTTGACACGGAAGTCTAAAAGCCACGAAACCATGCCGTTGTTGTTGGGTCAGCAGGTCCTACAATACCAAGGCCAGTTGCCACCCGCAGCCACGCGATCAGACACATTGTCGCTTTATTCCCTTTTCCCAGCACGAATCAAGGTGGTCGAGAAATGGGGAGGTATCGATTATTTGTCATTTGAAGTCCTCTGATGTCTACAAGAAATTGGATTCGTTAACAGGGCGGATGCGTTGTAGTCCCATTTCTGATCCGTTTGCTCTCTCCATTTTGAAATTCTTGAAGGCACCGAACCTAACAAATACTCTTTGTCCTGGACTTAGCCATTCGCATTAACTGTATTTGTTCAAATTGCATTCGATAGAAAAGTCAGACAAAGGATAATCTGAAGTGTCGCTTTCATATGATATGATCATATGTTTCTCCCGAATTAGCCTCTCCCCAGCCAGGGTCATGCCCGTCTTCAGCATCATCTTCTTCCGGCGGCATCACTAGATCTAGCTTCAAACTAGGATCACTGCAACCATGTTCCCATCCGTCATGGTAATCACAATGATCAGGTTGTCCATCTTTGACAATACAGCCAAAACCACAAGTCCTAAACTACCCATCCTTCCACTTGGCCTTCCTCAGCAGGCTCAGGAGCCACATTGAAGTTCATTCCATAGGTTGCATCAAAGCTTTCCTCCTCCCCAACACAAATCAAGTAAGCCATGCGAGCATATCGTTCCGCCTGCTTTGCACTCTCAGGCGAAACCCCAAGCAGGGTCCTCCAAAGAATAATCCACGCGACAACAAGATTATCCATAGCCAGTCCCCATTTCTTCACAACAAGCGGCCCTTCCACGCCTCCCTCAATCACAAACCCAACCGCCGCGAGAGCCTGAACCACAGCCTCCCTAGCTTCATTCTGCTGCATTAAGCTGTCATAAACCCCAGCAATCAGAGTAAGCGGTTCCCACAAACCAAGACGCAGCACCTGCTCCAACGGGCGCGAATATGTCTCGGTTAGACGATCAATAAGGACCTCAGCACGGCTGCAACTGTACTCAGAACTCTTTTCCAGCGCCATGGCAATCTGCGCGCGTTGTCTGACCCGCATCCCGAGAACATGGGGCACAGTCGCCTTGATGTCGACGCACATGGTGCAGGAGCACTCGAAGCCCCAGTGGCGGAAGTCCATGGGCTGGTTTTCCGGGGCAGGGAGCAGGTACCAGATTGTCACCTCGGTGTTTGCGGGGATATCGGCGGCTGCGCGGATGATCATCATATCACCAATGAAGGCGCGGTGTGCGTTGCTCACGCATGAGTGGTTGATCATTGAGGCATAGGGCCATGTGCCGCAGTTGTGCAGCCTTCCGGGGCTCCCACTTGCGTCGCGCGCGTCGTGGATATGGTCTCCTCTCGAAGAGGTTGGGCTGCCGAAGCTGTTGAGGGAGATTATGCGGGCGACTTGGAATCTGCAGGTAAGAAGAGGATTTGTTAGCTTTGGTTATTTAAGATGGAGTGTCTTGTGTGTTAGTTACGTGTCTACCACCGGCTTGCCATCAACGAGGCCTGTTGAGACCTGTCTGAATCCGTTGCTGTGGAGGTCGGTTATTGCTGCTGCCAATGATGGGGTTTTGCACAGCTTTTCGATGACCGACGATGCGAGCGCGAGTTGGCCTCCTCGGGTGGTCGTCCGCGTTTCCGTGTTGACATGGAGGGTGCTGCTCCACCTTGGCCTATTATGCTGCTCGGTTGCGTATGCAAAGGCTTTCTCGCAGAGAAGCAAATCGCCGACTTTGACTGCCTCCGTTGTGAATAGGCCTCGTCCCTGAGACTCAGTCTGTCTGACTGTCACTGGGCCAATCCATGTCGCATGGTCCAAGAGTGGCGGGTGGGTTTTCGATGCTTTCTCCTGCATCTTGCTGAAATTGTATATGCCCTTCTTTTGCTCGGCAAGGCGTGCAATAGCTTCACGAAAATCGTTCCTGGCACTGACGTCTTCGGGGTTCTTCTTGCAGAGTTTCGTGAATAGATCGCAGCTTTCCCGGAACCTTCTCAGGCGGTACAGGGTTTGCGCTTTGCCCCTAAGGGCTTTGTCAGATTTTGGGCCTGCGGGAACGGCATCTAGATCGCGCAGAGATGCATCCCACTCATCGACCTGGAAGAAGGCCAGGCCCCGGTAGTACAGGAGGTAATGCTTCTCTTCCTCTGTCGGCGAACACTCCAATCCTTTGGAGTAACTATCATTGTGGTCAGCGTTGTTAGCTATCGAATATTTCACTGGGACTTCACTATTCAGTGGCAGAATAGAATTTTCCTCGGTTGAGGTCCTCGTTACCCATGCTTAGCCAATCCCCGGCCATCCACTGAGAGGTTTCAAGCTCTGGAAGCCGTTTCCGCCAAGCTGCTGGGACCATCTCGTCGAACAATGGGATGAACATGATATCAGAAACATGATCAACTCTGATCCCGTATTCAGTATCAGGCATGGAAGTCAGGTATGGCTCCTTCACAAGTAAGATCTGCCCTTTGTCAGCACAGCCATCCTGGCAGCGGAGCTTCTCGTTCAGCATTCGGAGCGAGATTGGATCTTTCTCTTCGTCTTCCACAATGGCCATCACCGCACCCATGCTTTCAGCCTGGGAAATTGTTCTGACTAGAATGTAAGAGCCGCTATGATGAGTTTCAAGACGCAAATCTTTCAGCATGACCTTTTTCAGGCCTTCCAGCGGAGCGAGACACGGCGGGTAGATGGGAATGGCAAAAGAGACATCCACCGCGCTGCCGCTACTTTGGCGGCGTGATTGTTCCTTGTCCGTCTTCTGCCAATACTTGAATTGCTTCAAGAGTTCATCCCGTGTCAACTTTGGTTTGAAGGGCGTTCCCCTGAGGGCCTCGGCAGCTTCTAGGGCACGGTTGTGTTCGCTCAAGAGCTTCTCGCTCTCTGGGTCCTGGAGGAACCTGTCCATCTTCGAAGCTGTTGTTCTTATTTTCAGAGTTTAGTCTACTGATGGAGCAAACAGTTAATGGAGTTCAAATCTTACCGATGATATCGAGGATAGATTCGAAATGTGTGGTGAAGCAAAGTGATTGGGCGATGTGAAGGCTAGCTGCATGTGAACAAACAGCGAGAGGGCAAAGCACGCGAGGAACAAATACGCGTAGACACTGGATTATTTGGTCTAAACCAGCAACTGCGACCTTCGAATGTTCTGCCTTGGATGATACAGCCTGATTTGTGCATCTGAGCTTCGTACCATCTTAAAAATTTGCCTAGATAAGGGAACGGAATAAAGAAGTGCCTCCCCATTTGCATCAGGCTATGCTAAAGAGACATAGAAGAGGCCATATAGCGTTTTTATGTCGAGAGATGGCTACAATTAAGCAGTCTTTTCTCTTGTTTCTGTACACTAGACTCCAATAAAGTTAATGGCTGTCGAAGAGATTTTATTGCCTAGAATCTGGACTACAAGATATGCGTTACGCAAGACATGGTAGTATGTATGCTTTTCATTCGTGATAGCTTCATATAACTCTCTGGATGTCCACAGGTAGGAACATTGAAGTCTATCACAGCTGGTATTTGGTATTTGGCTTTGTCTGTTCTGGTTGACTCTTTCTTTTTTCTCTTTTATCTCATTATGCTGCTTTCCATAATGATCCATTTTTTGCTTTCTTAACATCTTGTATAACATATGGTCACTTACATCAAGGTAATATAGAACGTAATGCTCTCTCCAGGAAAGTAAACAGGGTAGCAACATATAAGGCTTGGTTCTTTAGCCCACTTTTACTTCATTCTCACTGCTCTATGAAGCTAGATTCATCTATCAAGGGCAGGATTACTTTATCACTGCGCAATCACCTTCTTCGTATATGGACTTCCAACTTCTGTTTTAGGACATGTTCTAACACCAAGTTACCCCAGGTTTGCCACATAATAAGTCATCCTGGTTAGTCCCAGACCACTCTCATTTCAGACTTCACACCACAATCCACCAACCGTCCTTCCAGGGTTCGCACAGAAAGTCTATAACCACCGTCGAGCACAAACAGGCTTCTGCATCGAACTCCACGAATACAGAATACATCTCTCTCAAAACAGACAGAGACAGAGCAATCAGGCTCGTGTGTCGTTCACACGAGCTAGTTCAACATGTGTCTATTTGTCGAAACCCACTACTCCAATTGCAAGCATACGTGCTTCGAGCTCTACCTCTTCTGCCGCGAGATCCTCCGCCAGCTAAACCGTATCAACGATCCAGACCAGCTCAGAGACTACGCTTTGCCATTTGACCCCGATTGTCCTACCTGCCAGCCATACACAGTCATAAGTGGTTCGATCGCAGAGAGCAATTATCCACAACAACACTTTCACAATCATGACCAGGGTCAGCATGGCCCTCAAATGGTTATGCCTGGTCCTCAGGATCAATTCTCCAGTGGATTGTCTATGCAGTATCCACATGCTCAGGGCCAGCCACCGTTCAGCCAGCAACCTGCTGCTCAACCATCAATCCCTGGCTTGACATACATCCAGGGTTCAGCACCCGCTAGTACCATGAGACAAACCACCCTTCGTCCGGATGTGAATTATCTGAGTGCAATTTCGGAGAGTAATATCGTGCACCAGATGATGGATTTGGTGGAGAGCTGTCCTGATTGTACTACAAAGGCCCTGTGATATCGAATTTTGCTTGTTAGAATATGGGTTTGTGGCTGGAGATACAAATGTTTGATAATGAAGTGATACGTGTAGAATCCTATTGAAGGTGTTTTACTGGACGATATTGAAGTTCGAGGAGAGAATAGCACACAAAATACCAACGCCATTGTCAGCTGTACGTAAATATTCGAGTAAATGCGAGATTTCCAAGGTTGAATCGCGTATATGTATGATGACGAACCCCGAAATATTCACAGTGCTGCCTAATACAAAGAACCAACAGGATCGGCAAAATTCAAGTGTTGACTGTCGTTTAGTGGGCAGCACCACATCCACAATCATCAGGAGATCGCTTCCTGAAGTCTCCATGGTAAGTGTCTAGTCCCTCAGTATGGAAATTCAAGCCTAGACGATCACCCATCCAGTCGTATGATTGCAAGATTCCAGACTTGGTGTCCTGTAGCAACTTCGTGACGTTGTCGACATCCAGATCAAGATAGTCCGCAAGGAAGTCTCCTACGTCGGTGTTCTCGTTGTTGCCAACCAATGGCCAAGCACCCTTGGTGGAAGATGCGTAGATGTTCACGTCAACGGCTATAACGGAATTAGTATACTATCATAGGTCACTGCTGGAGACTATCTTACCAGAATGTCCATGAGTACTCCAGCCGACCTGAGCGCGGCGACTGATCATGTCCGTGAACACGTGTTCAGTAGCGACTTGCGGGTCCGGGTGGAGCAAGGCATCTACTTCATCATCTGTAGCATCATCGATGCCAAGCCCATCCTTAAGTGTCTTCCGGACCCAAGACTGTTTAGCCGAATCCTTGGCATCCTTACCCGGCCCAGAAAGGTATTCCTTGAGTCGAGCTGCAAGGTATTCACCAGAGTGGTTTGCCTTGTCCAGGACACCCGGAAGCCACAAATACTCGGGGTAGCTCTTGTGCAGCTGTCGTGCTGCGGCAAGACCACCGGTCTCGTGGTCGGATGTGCTCACAAGCACACCAGGAGTGGAGTCATTCTCTAGGAACTCTAGCGCAGCAGCAAAGGCCTTATCGTATGCCAGTACCTCGTGAACCTGAGCGGCAGGATCATTGCCATGGCCAGCATGGTCGATGCGAGAGCCCTCGATCATGATAAAGAATCCTTGCTCACTGTCCTCAGTGGCCTTACTCAAGGCCTTCAACGCAGTGCGAGTCATTTCCTCCAATGAGGGATAGGTATCGTTTTGAGTACGTCGATCAATCTCGTACGGGATATCCCCGCTAGCGAAGAGGCCTAGCAGCGGTAAAGTGGCATTATCGCCGCCCTTCAGGCTGTCAAAGCCCGCACGGTCATCGATATAGCCAAACCCATTCTGAGACGCAACCTTGACCAAGTCGTGATCATCACCACGGCAACTGCCATCCTGTGAGTTGGGTAAGAAATGGCAACGTCCACCGCCAAGCAGAAGATCTACTACCCGGCCGAGAGGGTGTTCTCCAATTTCTTGGGCGGCAATCAAATCTTCGTAGTTCCGCAAATTGGCGTGCGCGGCAAAGCATGCTGGAGTCGCATCCGTCAGGCGGGTGGTCACAACTAGGCCTGTCTTGTACCCCGCCAACGAAGCTGCCTCGAGCACAGTTCCACAAGGCGAGTGGTCGGGAAGCACTGAGATAGCAGAGTTGTAGCTCTTGCGACCGCACGAAAACGCCGTCGCTCCAGCCGCAGAGTCTGTCACCAAGCTAGAGCTTGACCGTGTTCGCGAAGTTCCGATGTAGTGCTTATCCAAGACAAGAATGTCGTCGAAGGGCAGGTCGTCTGTGTATTGCCGGAAGCTTCGAGTCAGCGAGAGACTAGTAGGCCCCATGCCGTCGGACACCATGAAGATCATGTTCCGCTTGCCCGTCGGCTTGCCTCCAGGGCCCCAGGTCGTATTTGACGAGTGATGGTTGTGAGGCTCCGCTGAGTTGTGTGGGTACATCACAGCCAGTACAATTACCAGAATCGTTGCAATAACGGCCCAGGAAAACGCTCCAATTTCCCGCCAGGAAGGCCAGGCTCGTCGTTTGTCTTCATGGTCCGTTCGCTCCCCAGTCAGAAGAGCGTAGTCCTCCTCTTCATTTCGGACTGAGGAGCCGTCATCGGAGGACAGACGGGGAGGTACGAGGGACTCTTCCCTCGCCATAGCTGGTGGAAAGACAGAATCAGAAAAGAGTGAAGACAGATGTGTAGAGGTCGACAACTTCGATTGCGACGTTCCAAGGTTGTGTTAGACTCAAGTGGACCCTTGGGGGCGGAGAAGGAGATAAGGATAAGATAACAGGGCTCACATGATACGTCACGTTCGTTCCTGCATCACAGCCCTAGGGGGGAGGTCGCGTGAGGTGTAACTATGCAATGTATAAAAACTACATCTACCATTCCGTACGACCGGGGAATGTAAGGAGCAGAATTGTTTCATTTTGAATCGGCCTAAGCCATATACTTAAACCATCTATATAGTACATGCCATACTCAAGATAACTCAAAACCCTTAGAGAGGCCTAGCCTTCCACCCAATAGGAATCATGGCAGCAGCAATCTCATTTACACCGCGCTCCGTAGCAAGCAGATTGAACTGCGCGGCCGCATTCCGGGTATCGAGGATATCCACCCGAATGCCCAACGAGTTGATGTGACGCTTAGTCTCGGGCGAGAGCGGGAACATCGTGCCACCAACACCCAGAATGAGCATATCTGTTGGTTGAACTGTTAGAAAATCGAAGAACAATTTTGTGGTCAAGCTTAAGTATGTCATATTCGTAGGTGAAAGCACATATCCGGGATCACAAAAAAAAAAAAACAAGACATACCAGGCTTTGGCCAGACAAGATTCAACAACCCCCAAACCGACTCATCAAGTTCAAACTGCCCTTTGGAATTCAGCATAGCATCCTTAGCAACATTATCGTTCTCTGCGCCCTCGACAGCCTTCCACGGCCGCCACGCAAATGCCTCACCGCCGACCAACAACAGCCCATTGCCATCGGTGAGCTTGACACCATTGTTGAGATGGAATCCAGAATCAAGGCATGCGTCAATGGCCGTCGTCGGCGCGGGGATGTTGCCCAGCACGTTCAACGAATCGAAGTTGGTCTGGGTGTCCTCTTTGGACTCCGGGCCGCGGTCGCGGCTGACGGGTTTGTGCGCATGCGAGCGAGGAATCATGCGGGCTGGTCGGACTGGTGAGCTATAATTCCGGCGTGTTGAGGGTATTCCGGTGCTAGGGTTTGAGACGAGGCATGGCGCTGCGGTTGCTGATGGGATCTGGCAAAATCGAGTCAAGTTCGAGGTGGGACGGGTGTTGACTAGGGAGGTGCGCAAGACGCGCAGGAGTTGCGGCGATGGTGAATGCATTGATGCGATATGTTCGATGGAGCTAGTGGTTCCGTTTGCTTCTGTATTATGTAGCCTAGTAGTGATGTAGTGGCTCGGATAGTGGTTAGTGTCACGTGAAGTAAGGCTTTCTCCGGGGTCTTGGCTAAGAGAGCTAGCGGCAAACCTGGCCCTAGATATCGACACGCACTAATGTTCTTTACATGAGGCTAATCATGTCACGCACTAACACATAGCAAGTATATAGAAATAAGAACGATTGGGCATTCTATGAAAACCGACAGTGGCTCTGTATAGAGTGAGCATGGACTAGAGTGGAAACCCTGGTGTATCAGATATAAATACAGGCAACAAGTAACTAGCTATTGTGCACGTTAATTGAATTCTTCTTGTATTAATATTGGGCCTATCGATTAATCTATTTTGATTTTGCAGGAGTCCCAACCCTGACTCTTTGCGCCTGGATTCATATGGAACAAAGACAAGAGAGACGATAACATCGTACGCGTCGTAAACCCAAAACGCCAACGAAAAAAAAGCAGAGATGAAAAGGAAGACGATACCTGGAGAACGAACCGAAAAACGACAAATAAGCAGAGAAAAAAGACTGTCACCCCTCGAGATGAGACACCAAACTTCATATCACGCTGCCTTCGATCAGTACTGCCTCTGGGTGCTTTCTTGTTATGGAAAAACGTATGGACATGTTGAAAGTTAAACAAGAGTCATTCCCTGTCCCTATTTTAGCGGATCAGGCCTTGCTGATTTAGTTGCTTTGGCGACCGAACATGGTTGCGGTCTTCATCCGATTGACTAGAGCTGTCATCACTTGTGGTTGCAGTGCGGATTCGCTCGGCTAGGACCTGAGCTTCTGCCATAGCCTTTTGGGCGCGGATCTGCTTACGCCACATGCTGTAGTATCGACCCTTCATAGCCAAAAGCTCTTCATGGGTGCCGCTTTCGGCCACTTGGCCTTCTGACAAGACCAAGATGCGGTCCGCGGTAGTGATGGTGCTGAGACGATGAGCAATCACCAGCATGGTGCGACCCTGTGAAAGAGTAGAGAGCGCCCTCTGGATATGCTCCTCGGTATCTGTGTCTAGAGCTGCAGTTGCCTCATCTAAGAGAATGATGCGAGGGTTCTTAATGATGGTGCGAGCGATAGCCACACGTTGCTTCTCGCCACCGCTAAGCCGTAGGCCACGCTCTCCAACCTTGGTGTTGTAGCCATCGGGGAAAGCAAGAATCTTGTCGTGAATGCTGGCGGCGCGGCAAGCCTCGTAAACATCTTCATCGGAAGCGTCCTGATTGGCGTACTTCAAGTTGTACATCAAAGTCTCGTTGAAAAGTACAGTATCCTGAGGCACCACACCAATATGTTGACGGACTGAATCGATCGTGACATCCTGTACATCATGTCCATCGATACAGATACGTCCATTACCCGAGTTGTAGAACCTGAACAAGAGGCGGAAGACGGTGGACTTGCCTCCGCCAGACTCACCAACCAATGCGGTGGTGGTTCCCGGCTTGCAGTGGAAGGTAAGGCCGTTCAACGCGGGCTTGCGCGAATCGTAAGCAAACTCAACATCCTCGAACTTGATGTCACCGTTGCACATGGCCAAAGGTGTGGCACGGGGACTATCGACCACAGTTGGCTGCTCACGGAACAATTCTAGCAGGCGTTCGGCATTGATTAATGCAGATTGGATAGATCGATAGAACGTGCCAAAGAAATTGAGCGGGCCTTGGAGTTGGACCATATACGCCAGTAGAGACACGAACTTGCCTACAGGGCGCTGACCAATAGCAACCTGGTATGCACAAATGAAGCACATTACCAATAATCCCATCATAAATACGGTGTTTTGACAGGTGTTCAGCAGTGTTAGAGAGAACAGCACGTGGTATTCGGCCTTCTGGAAGTCACGGACGGCGCCCCGGTACCGGTTGAATTCGTACTGTTCGGCGTTGAAGTATTTCACTGTCTCATATGAGACCATGGAGTCGTTCCTAGAAGGAGCATAAATTAGTCCCACGCATATCTCGGATGAATAATGAATAGCCATGTTCCGAACTTACTTGACAGCATCTTCTTGTCGTGAGGCATTGACCATCTGTCTTCTGATCTCGGCTCTCCATTGGGCCATGCGGATAGTGACATAGAGGTAACCAAAGGTGGAAATTCCGACAGCTAGAGCATAGTAGACATCGAAGGAGACCAAGAAGAACACAACCGCAATCACAAGATCAACAAGCATTGGCACAACCTGAAAGGTGACCTGCTCAAGGAAAGTATTGATCGAACTGCCCTTGCTCAGGGCGGACAAGACTTCTCCGGTCTTTTTTCCGAGATGGAAGTCTAAGCTGAGACTATGGACATGTTCGAATGCCGCGGTGGAGAGCTCCATGTAAGAATACTGGCTCACAGGGATCCAGAGGCTAGAACGCAGAGAGCTGAGCAAGCCCTGGCTGCCCTGCAACCATCGATACACCACATACAAACAAATCTGAATCCATGGCACTTGGAAGTCATCACTCTCACTACTCTTCGTGAGAGAACCTGTAATGAGTTCGATTTGGTGAGGCACCAAGACGTTGACGACTCGCTGGCATATGAGGAGTCCAAAACAAAAGGTGACAATTAATTGCAGGCGGCGAGACTTAGACGGCCACAGGTATGGGAAAAAGAGCGAGTAGCCGCTCAGGTACTCCCACCAGCTAGTGGAAGGAAGAGTCGTCGGAACGCACCCATGGATCGGTAGGTTTGGAAGTTTCGGGGTGGGGAGCTCCGTTCGTCGAGCCATATGAATGGCCATTGGCTTTCCCGTGTCCATTCCCATTGCCGTTTTCTGCACCACCGGAATCCAAAAGTCCCGTAGCTTCTGTGGCTCCATTCGCCCGTTGGCTTGCCTTCGCGTGGCTCTTCATGCTAAACGATTGGCAGGCGTAGAGAAGCACCAGAGCAAACAAAATAAGGATGCGTATACTGTTTGATCCCACTTCCAGGGACTCCCACAATGTAATGCTCCTGCGGACCCGACCTCCTTCTGGGTCTCCAACAATTGGCTCGTGGTGAACCGAGGTGTAGATTGAGAGGGAGGTGCTAACAATAATCAATTCGATCGGGATGGCAACCGACCAACAGACAAATTGGGCGAGAGTAGGCGAGGGAGATGTGTCTAGCATTGCCATGAGCAGCACTGAGTAGACGAAGAAGGAGCCGACGACGTAAACCTGTGATAAGTGTCAACGGCTGTCGAGAGACACCAAACCATTCGAGTAGAACGTACCACAAAGGACTGCCCTCGCCACCAGTTCTCTGACCTGGCCACCATCACATGTATGATATAGATAGTTGCATCCACAAGGAAGGTCAAGATAACGGCCGCGGAGAGCAAATTGAAAACTCGTTTAACGTTCCGCGAGAACTCCTGGGATCTGTAGGCGGGCGTACTTCGAGTTCGCTGAGGGAGTGGTCGCCCTCCAGGGCCAAAGTATTGAGCTTCATGCTTGCCAGCTTTCTTCGCAGCGATGGTAGTATTAGCCACGAAGGCCAGGACAAAGAGGATAAGAAGAAAGATTGGATAAGAGGTGCGCAAGTATTCCAGCAGCTCAAGGGCTGCATGGGGATCCATTGCCCACTAAATATCCCAGAAATGAGTGTCTCAAACAAAGTCCATGACAAAGTCCTCCCTCGAAAGAAAGGTGAAGAAAGGGAGGCCGGGTTCGGATCGGAAAGGACTGGACGGGTATGGCGAAAGATCGACGCGAGGAATGGGGGAACTCCAAGAAGGGGTTTGGAGAAACAATAGATTTTCCACGTGGAAATTTTTAGAAGTAAATTAAAGATGAAGCAGAAGCAAACATAAGAAAAGAAAGAAAGAAAAAAATATATGTTAATTTTTTTTCCCTTATTATTTCCCTTGTTCTTTTTTTTTTCCTCCTACTGTTTTTTCTTCTTTTTCGCCTTCTTCCTTAAGGTTTCTCTTGACTCAAAAAGAAAGGGTCCACGGGTAACTCGTTGAGGCCAAGTATAAAAAGTGGCAAAGAAAAGGGTTTAAATATAAAGAATATCTAGAACATAAAATGCCTGGAATGACGGTGTGGATTGCAGGTTGCTGCAGCTAAAAAAATAAAAATGGGGCAACTGGGTATAACTCCCCCGAGCTTCCGAGGGTCTCTTTTATATCTATATCTTCTTTCTCCAAGTTCTCTTTTAGGACTTTGTTTGTCTACGAGTTTTATAAAATCCATATATAAATTTAATTAATCTGAAGTCTTTCATGCCCAATGGTCGAAGTTCAAATCGTCCTAGAGTAAAAACAGGGGGGGGGGTAGTAAATGGGATCGTCGATCGATAGATCGAGAACAATCCGCGCATATAATGACTTCACCAAACTGCCAAGATAAATTAAAAAAATTGAATTTATTATGAATGATGGGATCATCTGAACGCTCTGTCAAATCTAAATTCTTCTTCTTTTTCTCCGTGTGTGACCTTCAGCTTGGATTGGTTTGTCTGAACTTGTTGATGTATGTGATTAGCTGAATGTCTCACATTTTTTGCCTCTTGCTTAGTATCTTTTAGTCACTTTCGGGCGCAGTTCAATATGGATTGGCCACTGATCATAGTACTCTTCGTATACCTAATGTATGTATATTTTGTATGTTGTATGTCATCTACAACATATGAAGATCTATCTAGGTATGAATATGGATATATCTTCCCCATGTGTTTCGTGTCTCACGTCCCGAAGCCCCGGTCGAGGTAAGACAACTCAGACATTCTTCCATTCCTTTATAGATAGTACTATATATGTAGGTATTTTGGTCTTTGGACACGTTACCCTCGGAGAAAAATACATAAGATCATATTCCAATCTGATCTCTCTCATGTGTTGTCTTCTAGACCGCTCTTAACATGTGTTCAGGCCCGATGGCCTTCAAAGGGTAAAAGGTAAGGTGCATTTGAGAAATACATACGGAGTAGATGAGAGAAGGAAAAAAAAAGTAGGAAGTACAACTACCTGACTAGTGCCCTATATGTGAGGCATAACAACCTAGTGATACTATATCGTACATATTAAAATGGTCAATCTTCAATGTCAGATAACAGTAAGGCTTAGATCGTCCCGAAGTCGGTGCCTCAGGGATATTTCCCTCACCGCTTGCATTTCGGTGATCTCCAACTCTCCGCATCTTTCTCACTCCAATTCGGTGGTCGTGTGCCACAATGGAGACCTGGCTGTAAACGATGTCGGACCTCTCAGGTTCGCGATCTACGATCCCTCCCCTCCTCCACCTCCGCCACAGAAGTACTCCAATCGCGCCGCAAATGCCCTTGCTAGATTCGCCCAACCTTTCTTCTCGGGCTCGAGACCACCTAGTCCCCAAAGCAGTCGTGTGGATGGTCCCCGGTCGATCAGATCCAAATCACTGTAAGTGTTGCATTCTCACACCGCTCTGATACCCCTACTTCCCTGCTTGGCCCTTTGTTTTCACGGATGCACCACCCCCGCCATTTGGTCATCGGAGCGAGTATGATCGGGGAATTGCATTTGAGCCAATAGAATCTTCTGTTTTCTAATATGATTCTGTAAAGACCAGGAGAACCGCAGACTGTGACCCACAAAACAGGCATCGCAATCACGGCTTTGGACATTTCGCCTGAGCGGACACATGCGGTTATTGCAGGCAAGGAGATTCTCAAAACCATCCAGGTCTCGCCCGACCGCTCGTCAGAGGAATTCAATATCCGCAATGCAGTCATTAGCTATGCATCTACCCACCATGATGCGGGCGTTTCGATGCCACACAAGGACCAATTGAATGTGAAGGACGTAAAATGGTCACATGGTAACTATGACCGGATAATCGCAACTGCAGTCGCGAATGGTCGGATTGTGGTTTACGACCTACAGCGGCCCGGCCTCCAATTATGTCGATTCCATGGTCACAACCGCCAGGTGCACAGGCTTGCCTTCAACCCTCATCTTCCTTCTTGGCTCCTCTCTGGCAGTCAAGATGGCACAATTCGGATGTGGGATCTGCGAGCCGCCTCTGCGAATCGGGGAACTTCCACGTGCGGTAGCAAACATTCGTATCAGGGCAATAGCGATGCCATCCGAGACGTCCGGTGGTCTCCTAACGATGGAGTCATATTTGCAACTGCTTCAGACAGCGGTGCGATCCAGATGTGGGATTATCGGAAGGTCAACGCCCCATTGATGAGAATTGCCGCTCATGATCGCCCATGCTTCGCAGTGGACTGGCACCCAGATGGAAAGCACATTGTCAGTGGTGGCACGGATCGCCAGGTGAAGGTCTGGGACTTTTCTTCATCTGCAGAGCGACGGCAGAAACCTGCATTCCAATTCCGAACGCCCCAGTCGGTCACAAATGTGCGATGGAGGCCTCCTTCTTGGGTTGGTCAGTCTCCTGCCTCGGGGGAATGGCAATCGTCTCAAGTTGTCACGTCCTACGACAAAGAAGATCCACGCGTTCACCTTTGGGATCTCCGTCGCCCGCACATTCCATTCCGTGAGTTCGATCGGTACGATGCACCCGCCTCGGATCTGCTCTGGCGCTCCAAGGATCTCTTGTGGACGGTCGGCGAGACCGGGGCCTTTACCCAGACCGATGTTCGGTATGCGCCAACTGTGATCAATCGCCGACCGATGTGCTCCGTGGCCTGGAGTCCCGATGGCGAGTTTGTTGCGTTCAGTCAACAAAGGCCCAGGCGACGTCCTCTGGGAGTCAATGCCGCTGAATTTCTACGGCCCGAAGAAGACGAGGACAGCACCGGTGAGAGATCACTGAGTCAAAGCCCCGCAGATGATATCTTCGATGAAGCTGTTTTGGCCACTTCCCTTCGGAATCGGCATATCAAATCGGCGGCGATTCGACCATCCAAATCCTTGGGCAGTACTCCACCCGGGGCAGTGGATTTCATACCTGTGCTCCCTCTAGAACAAGCATTAGCCAAACTCGCAACCCCAACGCCTAGCCAGGTGGGGATCATTACAAGTATTCCGGGTGCTACAAACGACCCAGCAGTCTTCCGGTATTTGGCAAGCCACTATGCACCGTTGATGAATGAGCACAGTGATCATAGAACGCAGACCGACGTGCTGAACTCTTTGATCGAGTCACTGGACCATAACGCTGAATGTGCAGATGAGGTGTCCCTGGCTAGACTGGCCCAGACTTGGAGAATTGTCAAATTCGCTATTCTTCAAGAACTCGAACGTAGAGCCAGAGATCATCCAACAAAAGGTGGTCAGAGAGACAGGTCATCCAAGGATGGAGGCTTGATAGACAGGCCGCGACCCGATGATGGTCGACAAGACAGAGTCAAAAGTCGGTTGTTCAAAGGGGTCATGGAAGCGGTCCCGGAAGCTGAGAGCTCGTCGAATATGACCACCCCTCTTGCGCGACCATTGCCCGACTCCCCGAAAGACTCGTGGTCGAGCACTGATTCCCAAATCCCCTCATTGGGCGATGGGGCGATCGACATTGACCCTCTTCCGCCATCAGTCTTGAGTGATCATAATGGCTGGGGGATGTCAGACCGTATACCCTTGCCGCGTGGACGACAATCATCAACCGATGATGCTGATTCATCGAAATATCTATGGGACCCCATGCAAGAAGACTTGGACATAGAGCAACGGTCTGCGCCTCGGGCAATTACTGGCAAAGCAGATTGGCGTCGTCGTGGTCATGCAGACTCCCCTCAGGAAAATTCCGAGGATGATTATGACCAGGAACTGGAGGATAAGCGTGCAGCGATCCGTGACTACAAGCAATTCCCCAAAGAAACCATTGACTCTTGAATCGCCAATGGAATCTAATCGGCCTCCTCGTACCGACCGCTATAGTCGACATGATTCGTCGGAGAGTTTTCCCATGTTCTCTACATCCACTGATAGTTCGCACCCCTCCAAGTCTATTGGTGCGTCGTTCTCGTCTACTGGACAATTTGAGGCATCCAAATCTCTGGATGCTGGTCAGTCTGCGGCAGCGCTGAGGAGAGGATCGCTTCTCGCTTCTACACGTGAGGAGTCTGAGGATGAGCTCTTTAACCAAGTCATCTCAGAGACTGATCAACTTCATTTGGAGCGCCCGTCGAGCCCTCCCCCTTTGATCACAGAATCAACCCCCCTTGAAAGACAGCAATCTTTCCCACCAGATGATACACCCTACCCCGACACCATGCCATGTTCAATAGGCGGTACCTCCCGAGTCCAGATCCCACTCACGCCAGACGGAACAGACTTGAAACCATGGGGTATTGAAGCGATTCTGAAAGAATCAGTTCGATATTACCACAGCAGCAGTAGCTTAGTCGACATCCAGGCTGCGGCCCATCTTCTCCACAAGCTGCACGTTCTTTTTCGGGACTGCGAACAAGTTCTGCCATATGAAGAATGCGAAACGGTCTTCAAAACCTACAATGAGCACCTTATTCGGCACTCGATGGACCTCGAGGCAGCAGAGCTCCGCTTATTTTGTGTATCAACATATCCTGCCGTCTACGAATACGCTCAGACAGATTCATTCATCAACGTCTACTGTTACACGTGTCAGCGACCCTTTGAAAATCCCACCCAAGATAACAGCCGCTGCTATCGCTGCAGCACACCTCAAGCACCATGTTCTATTTGCATGAGCCTTGATCCACCTCCAGAATGGGTTTCAGAGCAGCAAACCCGATTACTCACTTCATATACCGTCACGAGTCCCGACCCAGACTCCGAAACCACGTCAAACCATTCGGCACAATCCTCAGTTCCCACTGAACCCGTCCCAGCGTCCGAGATCGAGACTCTCGGGCCCTTCACTGTACCTCGGCCCAAAGGCTCTGCTCTCTGGACGTGGTGCCAAGGTTGCGGCCACGGCGGCCATCTAGCCTGCATCACAACCTGGCTCGTCGACATCTCAACCAGTGAAGGTGGGTGTGCCACAGCCGGCTGCTCGCATGACTGTGGGCCTGGCCCACGTCGCGAACTAAACCGCCAAGCCCTGCAGGCGGAATCCAAGCGTCGTGACTCTGCTAGTCGCTCCGCAGGTGTCGGGCTCGTCAAGCGTGATCCCTGGACCAAGGGTGAAAGCAAGGCCGTCGAAAAAGTCCGCGGCATGTTGGGCGTTGCTGGCGTTGCCGCTGCCACCGGTGGCAGCGGTGCTGGCCCGGTCACTTCGACAAACAATACTTCTTCTCCAACGCCGGTTTCGCCCGGCGCTATGTCGCCTAAGAGGGTGCGGCTTGTTACCCCGAACGAGCAAGAGAAGGAAAGTGCTTCCTCGGCTCGCACGGGTCCTCCTTCGAGGGACTGAGCTTGAACCTTGGGTAACGTTCCATATGTACTACTATTAGCGCGTGTTTTTACTCGTGCGTCTTCTCTTCCTTTCTTGTCTTCTACTTCTATTTGATTCCCCAATCGCGATGCTTTCAATGAATCAATCTACGGATTAAACACATGCCTATCGTGTACAGTCTTCAAGTGTATTTCTCCATCGTCACGTACTACATGTAGATAGAATGTGCTGTATACACACACATAGGACTCGAACGCATTTTTAAAGCATAAAACCCCCGCTCCCCTTCATCTAGAACCTCCGCTTCTTCTTTGCAGGAGCTTTGCTCTTAGCCTCAATCGACCTCTTCAGTTCCTCACGCTTCCGATCAGCGCGCTGGTCTTCGGTCTCCGGCTCTGCAGGTGGAGCAGGAGGGATCTTCTGCGCTGCTGATGTGGGCAATGGAGACTCCTCCCTTTTAATAGCTTGTCGGTCAGCCTTCAGTTTAGCAGATGCAGCTTTCTCGGGTGACATCGCCACCGTGTCAGATGTAGGTAGTGGAGACTTGTCTCGACCTGCTTCGGAGGCTTTGGCTTTAGCTTTGCCGCCTATCATGCCAAGTTTCCCCGGACGTTTAGCTTTGGCTGCTGCTGGTGCTGGTGTCGATGATGTAGGAGCATGGTCTTCGCTAATTCTTTCTTCCTCTGGAGAGTCGGGGGCTTGTGCTGGCGGGGAAGGGGCTGGCGAAGGCGAGGGCTCTTTTGCTTGCTTTTTCTTGCCGCCTATAACTCCCAAGCCGCCCTTTGGCCTTTTCGGTGCCTCTCGAACTTGCGCTGGGGGAGAAGGGGCAGGTGAGGGTGATGGCGATGGTCGGCGCTCTGTTTCTTTCTTGCTCTTGCCGCCAATCTTACCCAATCCACCTTTTGGTACTTTTGGTGCCTCCTGGACTTGCGCTGGAGGAGAAGGGGCTGGAGAGGAAGATGGCGAGGGCCGCTCTATTTCTTTCTTGGTCTTGCCGCCAATTTTACCCAATCCACCCTTCGGTACTTTCGGCGCCTCTCGAGCTTTCGTCTGCGGTGCGGCGGGCTCTGGCAATCTTGAAACACTGGGAATGCGTCGTCTTTGACGCGGTGGTGGTTCAAGATCGGAGTCAGAGTCTGATGCTGTGGCTTCATCTTCCTCTGAAGGCAATACTGGCGGAACAGGACTTTTCTTCCTGGGTATTTGCTTGGGTGGCGATATCTTGCCTTTGTCGTGTCGAGATTTTAGTCTGGGAGGAGTTTCTTGTCGCTAGATGAACGGGGTTAAACTATACTTATTATTTGTGATTGGGAATAAGTCGTAGCATACCTGGAACTCATCGGCCTCGCTGCTTGTCATTGAGTCCCCTCCTTCGTCGATGTGCTTGGTATCAATTGGCTCTTTTCTGTCTTCGTCGCGGGATATTTCCTCTTCGATGGGAGAAGCTTCTCTGGCGCTAAATTCAGAGCGCCTCGGAAGTTGATACCACCACTCACCCTGGGAACGGGTGAAGGTATCTAAATCATGAGAATCACCGAATTCTGAGATCTCCTGGAGTAAATTGGTAGCTAGCCCTGTCCCATCTGATACTCCTGTCTCAGCAAGCCAGGTCTGTTCCTCAAACGGCGCAATACCCTTGACAAATTTAGCAGCCTCGGACCGCGTGATAGCCTTGCGAGACGTGCGCGATCCTGCCGCACTAGGAAACACAGACCCTAGGTCAACGCCGATTGTTTCCATTTTGTCAAACAACTTGCCAAGTACATAGTCTTTCTGTTTGATTTGGTTCAAGAGTAAACGTTGGCGGGACTCCCATTCCGCTTCCTCTCTCAGTAGCGGAATTAATAGATTAATGGTCAATGACGACAGGGGTTCCTTTGATAACTTCAAAGACCACTTAAGAGGCTTCAGCGGGGGAGGGCAGCGTGGCTGTTATGGTGATTTCAAGGGAGTCGGTTTGCGTTCCACTGCTTAGGATTGCGCTTTCATTGCCCTTTTGTAGAGCTTCTCCGATTTTCTCCAGGAGCACATCGAGCTGTTCTGGGTCCTCCCCAGGATCGATCGTTGTGGCATCTTCCTCTGCTCTCTTGGCGATAGCTTTACGGGGCAGACGCTCTGACCAGATATAGGTGAGATCTGTTATGTGGATTTCATAGCCTTGTCGGGACCAGGTATACTGGAAGAGCAAAGGAGGTAATCCCTTCTGGGATAAATGAAGACGCTGCCATCTTGAAGGCATGGCTTGAGTGACTTGTTGATTTACAATGCGGGAGTTGTGAAAGTCGTCCATATTCATGGATAGCTGCCTGGATGATAAGGGAAGGTTTGCCGCCCGCTAGACTTTCCGCTGATCTCCCGAACTTCTAACTTCGCCTTCGACATCCAAATTACATACGTTCGGGCCACTTACGCTCTAGTCCTTACTCCTCGTTATATTCATACAGTTTTTACGATGTCTGCGCGATACCCAGACCGGCCAGACACAAAGCGCAGCAGGTCGCGGTCGCCATCCTCGTGGCGGCAGCCCCAGAAACAGCCTCGTCGGGACGACAGAGAATGGCGCGACAGACAAGACTCGGATCGCAGATGGAACAATGAGAGATCGGGCCCTTCGCAGCAGTCTCGCAACATGCGCGATCAAGTCCGGCTCAACCTGATTCAGGAAGACCAGCAAGAGCGCGAGTGGGTCGCGCAGGAGGATTTGTTCGTGCTCAAGCAGGCCAAAAAGAAGGCAGAGATTCGAGTCAAGGAAGGGCGCGCAAAGCCTATCGACTGGCTGACGGTTACTCTCCGCATCATCGATCCTACGCGTGATCCCTTGGATGACGAGATAGCAGACTCCGATCTGGATGTCGTGGACCCGGACGGTGTATTTGAGGGACTATCGCAGACGCAACTACGAGACTTGGAGAAGGATATTGATACATTTGTTAACCTGGAGACAAACGCGAAGAACCGTGAATTCTGGCAGGTAATGTTCCCCCTCTCTGCTATCTACTGAACTCGCCTGTTGACCACCGTCCATCCTACAGACTATGAAAGTCATCTGCCGAGATCGTCAAAAGACCGTTACACCCGAGGGTCGTGCATTGAATTCTGTGGCTGCCGATATCAACAAACTACTAAGCCCGAAATCCTACGAGCAGCTTCAAAACCTCGAAGTACAAGTGAAGCGCAAGTTGAACTCGAACGAACCGATCGATACAGATTACTGGGAAGAGCTGCTGCGCAGTCTGACTGTGTGGAAGGCCAGGGCGAGTCTGAAAAATGTTTATCAAGCTATTATTGATGAGCGTGTTCGCGACCTGAGGAGGCAGCAAAGACAGGAAGCTGAATCAATCCGGGAAAAACTAGCGCCTCTTGCTCCCGTGGTCATTGCAGGTGAAACAACAAGTCATGCCGAGTTTGAAGGCCTGGATCCAGATCCATTGCTCCAGGTTCGACCGGAGGACAAAAGCTTGGAAATCATGGACGAGTCCGCATTCCTTAACCAAGTGGTAGGTCTTTGAGCTTCCCCTCATTTATCACAGACCACATGCTAATCAACCGCACAGGCACGTGAACGACAGAAAATTCTGCGTATGGGCTTTGTCCCACTACGGCACCGTACTGCAGAGAAGTCCTCCGCAGTAGTGTCAAAACCGACATCTACCAATGCCCCCGCGGCCTCTGCATCCACACGGTTCTCGTCCATCCCGAACGAGGACTTCTCGCAAGCGACCAAAGCACTATATGAAAGGGAGCTCGCCAAGGGTGTCAGCGAGAATGAGGAAATATTCACGGGCGAAGAGGCCGTGAGCACGAGCTCGCAACCTCAATGGGCCGGTAAGCATCGGCCTCGAAAGCCGCGTTACTTCAACCGAGTCCAAATGGGTTACGAATGGAACAAATACAATCAAACCCATTACGACCATGACAACCCGCCACCCAAGGTTGTACAAGGTTACAAATTTAACATCTTCTACCCCGACTTGATCGACAAGACCAAGGCCCCAACTTACCGGATTGAGCGTGAGAACGGCCGCAAGCGTGGCGAGTCATCCGCCGAAGCAGGTGAAGAAGACACCTGTCTCATTCGGTTCATGGCTGGACCCCCGTATGAAGACCTGGCGTTCCGAATCGTCGACAAAGAATGGGATTATAGTGCCAAACGAGAGAGGGGGTTCAAGAGTACATTTGACAAGGTATGCCGTACTACCAAATGATCCATCCATGGATGTTTCTCAACTGACGTAATCCTTTAGGGAATTCTTCAACTTCATTTCCAGTTCAAACGGGTAAGTCGCTTTCTTTTCTTGGTTTTACGAAGATAATACTAACAGATTGTCTCAGATCTATTACCGGAAGTAACACATGCGCAACCAACGATTTCCACATGGGCGCCATATCGGGATGGAGAGAGTTGATTATGTATGCAGGGAGATGTTCGGGGGGGTGTATTTTCCAGTGACTTGATACCCAGTGAATCAGATTAGACTTGGATTGATTGGACTGGAAACATTTCCCCCATTGCCCCCCAAGGTTTTCGCATAATAAGCCGGACTTGATATCTGGAGATATCCGATGCTTGATCCAACCGCTTCCTAAATTCTACCCTTGTCACCTTTTTCTTTTCCACCATGATAATATTTTAGGGGGTGGAAGCCAAATCCATCCCATTCGCCTTGGCCATGGCTAGCGTACAGACACTATCTGCCTCTTTTTCTTTTTCTTTTCTTTTTTCTTTTATTTTTCTGTTACCAGGGTCCTTGCAACACGGGGGACGTTGGGAATATCCTTTTGGTGACACTATCCCGGCCTGCAGGAGCAGGACGATGTATTCCCGACTTCCGGCTGGTTGGATGCAGGCTATGGGGGGAAAAAAAGAAACAATTGGACTAGACAAAAGGTAGAATACGGCACTATTTCGCAGTTAGCTTCCAGAAGGCCCGGAATGAAGCCGGTGTAGGTGAATGGCAACTTTTTACCCTGCAGGTTCCCATTTGACCATTTGACTATTTGACCCTTTGACCATACCCTTCTGGCTCTAGCAGGAGTCCATTCGTCCTAGTCGCATGTAGCATGTAGCCTGTAGCACCAGATCCAGCCACTTTGACCTACCAGTGACCATTGTCTGTACTATGAATCTCCGTTGCACGACCTGGGCATCTAAAGGCGTTTTTCGAAATACGGAGTAGACCTTTCATACCAAGAAAAAGGAAAAATAATAATATCCCTTAGGTCCAGACCGTCTTTTGTTCAAAATGCATGAGGTTATTTGCAGAGAAAAGAAAGAATATGATGCGTTGGCATTGAATTATACAGCTCCAAATCGCTCCAAATCCTCTAAGGTTGAACACACCCTTTGAGGCACTCTCATCTATTCTCTTCCCCTTCTTATTCTTATTCTTATTTTAATTCCCTCATCTCTCTCTCTCTCTTCCTTCTCTTCATCTTCCAAGGTTTACGTTTGCCTTCTCTTATCCTTCTTGCTTCTCTTCTATTTCCCTATCTATCATCGAAGTCACCTGCCTTACCCAAACATGGATTTCTCATTCCATTCACAGCACTTCGACAGAATGCAAATTTCAGACCAGGATTCCAGACTTGGTCCCCTGTCACAGCCAGAAGCGCCACCTCAATTCAGTGTACCTGACTGGGCAAGATGGAGATCCCAGCTAGCTCCCATGCCTAACTATTATCAGAGTATGAGCATTCCTCGTCTCTCTGATAACGAGTACAGCTTGGATCCGTTGTCTCAGGATCTCGTTGGGGATCCAAACGGATATCTTGATTCCTACCGCTCACCTGTCACCCCCACCATGGCTGGCACACCCTTGGAGATATTGGCTCCTCAGGCTGGGGAGAGCCACCCAGCTTGGTCACTTTTTCAACCTCCGCATATCTTCAAAGACCAGCAATACAACTATCCTCAGTCAGATCATCTTCAGCCCGCTCCAGACTGCCCGCCGTCGCCACTTTCTGAAGTCTCGTCCTACCACTCCCCGCAGTCGCTCGCTGCTTCGAGTCCGGCAATGACGATTCAGACAGCAGACCGTCTCTCTCCGCGTTCAGGCACTGGCGACAATAGAGAGGAGCGCCCCGGTCACCCTCCCTATTCTGTCCTGATCTACCAGGCCTTGAAGGAAGCCCCGGGAAACAAGCTTCAACTCCAAAGCATTTACTCCTGGTTTGAAGCGAACACAGACAAGGCAAGAGACCCGAACACAAAGGGCTGGCAGAACAGTATTCGCCATAATCTCTCGATGAACGCGGTAACTCTCACTTTTCGTAACCCATTCTTTCAGTTCACCGTCGCCATATGTTTGATTCGACGTCTGCTATATTTGGTACCAATACTAACCTTTAACTCTAGGGATTCGAAGCAGTGAAGGAAGAAGTTGGACCAGGCAAAAAAGCAGTGAACTTCTGGAGGCTGACACCGGAAGCCATCCACAGCGGAGGCATCCAATCGACTACCCGCTACCGCAAGCTCCAGCTCCAAAAGAAAGGAGTGAACTTCGGCCATCGTGGCCCCACACGTCAGCCATCGGAGTCCAAGGGGGTCCATGCCACGAAGGTTGTCAAATCACGCAGCACGGACAGTCCCCATAGCGAGCGCGCCGAAGCATATCATCACCATCACCAGCATATGATCAGCACGAACCCTAGCCTGGGACATGAATACGGTCCCACGAGCCTTCCAGCGATGCAAAGCTACATGCAGCGCCCCACGGGCCCTGTTGTCGGATGCACCCCCATGATACCAGGCAACACGCTCTTCGTTGATAGCGCGGAAACAGGACAGGCATTCGACGTGGGCCATAACCATGATTGGTATGTTCCAGAGTCGGGCTCCAACAGGGTCCAGGACCCACTCGAAGGTCCCGGTCGATCATCAGCATGGGATTCGAAAAAAGGAATCTAAGCCACCGAAAAAGAATGGGAGGGGGAGGTGTGGTGAAGGGGATGGAGCATGATTCAGTGATGAAAAAGCCCGGAGAACCCGACGTGCATGCTCATGCTGCTTTTTTCTCGGGTTTGGTTTTTCACACGCCTTTTTTTTTCCTTGCGATTTTTCAGGTCATTGGTGGAGGCCACGTTGGCCATTGGACACACTAGAGGCATGGCGTTATTTGAAGTCCCATTTATTTGCTATTTTGAATTCAGAATGTATTGGGCGTTCCATGGAGCCTCGTGGCAAAGGAGATCTATCTACCTTTTTTTTCTTTCCCGCTTGTTCGCATTATCTACTTTGCTTTTTTTTTTCAATATTTTCTTCTACCTTTTTTCAGTTATTCTGGCATAAGCAACATATTTTCTTTTCAAATGTACCATAAGTTAGTTAGTGTGAGCTTTGTCCTCGGCGTCTAATCGAGATCTATCACAAAGCCGGAGATAGCGTCAACCATGGTTCTCTGTGCACATCATCTTAACTTAAACCTTAGAATAGGCTTGGTCTTATGGAGTATAGTATAGGCATGTATCTTGGCCTTCTCTCAAGTCCCACATATATTTGGTTCGTTACAAATGTACATCGTAATTTTGGGCATGAACAATGCCAAGAAATGGAAATATTCACACCTCAGCTACTCCGTACTGAGCCCCTGGGTTTCTGTATCGGATAAACAATGACTCCTGCTAATGCATGGGCATTGTTCTCGTGGCATGGACCACCTGCTGTGCTGCTGACAATGCTTCATATGCTTGTACAGCGGTGTCTCAAGTGACAGGAATAGCCTCCAACCATAGGAAAAGGAAAACTTGTCGACCACCAGCATGCTTTCTCTTTCTCTTTGTTAGTCTTCTTTAGTCTCTCTTGACACCCGGGTCCTGTCCTTAACTAGCTACGCTGAGCAACCCCACCAACACCCCGCTATATTACTCTCCTAACTGATGCAGTAGGCCAGGGTGCTGGGGGTGACGCGGACATCCTTGGCGGCATCGGCAGTATCGGCAGCTGCACGTTGCCTTTCCCATGATTATCTTTGCCTCCCTGTCATTCTCCACTTCCCCTTTTGTCGGTGTCCCAGGAAGTCGGGATTTGATACGTTGTTTTCAGCTAAGAGATCGTGGGGAGGGCACAGACCTTATTTTTACTTTTTTACTAGGGTATATTCCCAAGTATATCAACACTGGGGAGATTATAGACGAGATATAGGAGCTCAATTGTAGATATGCTATATGTTATAATTAGGGCATAATAACATACTACCTTGCATTATCGATTCCCTTCTCTAAGTCACGCATTGTCTCTCACGAGGACGCTTCTCTATGTAGTAATTAGGTTTCGTAGTGCAGTGTTGTGGCTATGACAGGCTCGTGTAATTGGGAGATCGGCAATGACACCAGTTAAAGGAGAGACATTCGCAACGTGGTCCATGCTTCCTGGAATCTTTTATGGATTATCGCTGTTTTTGCAGATGTGCAGGTGGTATACCATTCCCCATGTATGGATTATACAGGAAAGATACCACTAGGGTATTGGCAACTTGCATCCGTGGAGCGTGCATAGTAAATTTTGTGCTGTAAAAGGAGACACTCGCATTAGTCAGTACTATATACTTGTGCGCCGTAATACAGGCAGCTGCAATGCCGTTCACAACGCGGCTGAATATGCCAGTATCTAAGGTTGAGTTCCGAAGCTCCCTTACGGGCCGTGCCGACAGTCACTTACTCCAAGGTTTATATTGTTATATGCTGGGTAAGACGCTCAAATTCTTTTCAAATTGAAGGTTGAATTCAAGGGGACTACGGAGTACTCTAGAGCGAGTTTTGATATTATCATTAAATCTAACCTTACCTGCTTCCAGGGTACAGACTGTTATACGGGGGTTACATACAGCTGCCGACTTAGTGTGTACACTAATGTCCTAAATATCCCTTTTCTTTTCCCTTTTTTTAATGTCCGCTTGGACCCTTCCCTAAGCCAAACAGGGTATGAGACCCTCTCGTGACAGTCTGCAGCTCAATTAGTGACCCAAACCTTGAGTGGCTGTTCGTTATTAGCTACACATTGAAGGTGGACATGGCCGTCCAACCGACGGATGTACGTCCTGGACTGTTGCCAATCGTATAGTGGCATCGCTAGCTTTCTTTGTTAAGGGAACTGAGCTCTTACGGTGAGCCTTATTAGACTAGCGATGAGCCCAATCAGCCAGTAGGAGGAGCCGCGCCTCATGCGATGATGACAATGTCCCTCGGAAGCTGTATCCCCATCCCACATTCAATATACTCTATACCTTGGTCTCCTTTTTCATTCCTTGTTTTGTTTTGCTTTAATTTCCTTTTTGATGTCTATACCCATATGTCACGTGTATTCCCGTAATGCATGTCCAAAACAGATCTTCATACTGATCTTTGTGGAGAGGTCTCCATGCAGGGTAAAGGCAGCCAGTATCAATGGTCTCGATTCTAAGTCCGAGCACCGTCAGGCACAGCCCCACCGTTCGATTCGGACCCGAGAAGATCACGTTATATGTGTCGAATATCAAGCCCAACCCGGGTTCCTCCTTCAATTCTGATCTATCGACTAGACTATCCGGGAAAGGCAAACGGGAACGGGAGAAAGGGGGGTACATACTCCGTAGATCTCTTTAATTTTTGACCTGCATGGTATCAATAGGTGCGGGTACGTAAATGGCACTTGATATGTGTGTACTTAATAGCCGATAGGTTGCCCAGCCTGCTGGAATCCGGGATATGTCTGCAAATCCCGGTATCTAGTTACCGGGGATTTTCTCTTCACGGTATAGGTTATGTTGACAGCCTCTGGGAGGGATGTTGCATTTTATATAGAGTGTAGTATTAGCAGTCATTTTACTTTGTATTTTGACTTTCCGTTCGATAGAAACCGCACGAACCTCGCCCGTTGGGCGTTTGTGGGATGGAACGGCCCGGTTCCACAGCTGTCAATTCTGCACACGCTCGAGCTCCCTTTGATAAGCACTAACACTCGGAGTGAGTAGTTTTAGGGATGCGACACAGGATAATCGCCTGACCGCCTCTTGGGCCGATCCCATTGTCTGTTGTCATCCGCATCCCCGGGTCCGGGTATCATGGAGGCGGCGAAAATTCCTCATTCTTTGCTTTTTCACAGTAAAAGTTAAAAGAAAAGACATTCGGATCCGGGCCGGTGATTCATTCTATTGGCTGGCGTTTCAACCACCGGGAATTGAACGAATCGCAGCGGCCACGTACTTTACATATGCGTTACGCACTTACTAAAACAATGGAAGTAGAGGGATCGATCTTCATTGGTACACCTTTAGCTTCTTTTGCTGTATATTGAGCTAGTGTAGACTAGATGGTGCAGAGATACTAGATCTCCTTTAGGGAGGAGATTATATTGTTCATCACATGTTATATGTTGACTGATAGCAATTACAAGATCATCCGAGCATCATGCTCTAAGTTATATTTACTTTTGTTTGAACCTTAAAGCAGTACATTTACTTAGAATGATAGACATGGCCATAGGTTAGTAAGAAATCTAGTGTATCTTCAACCAATCTCATCTGCAGCCTCGAGGAGGTCAAGGCACAAGGACGTGCAGGATGAAGCTCCTGCCCAAAAGAGCAGTTCAAGATATCGGCACTCAAGAATATATGCAACTATGCCGCTATACGGAGTATATGTACATACGTACATAGTTTATAATCTTTTTCTTCAACTGATTTCCGATAGTATAGTGCAACAAACACGATTCTTTTTATTGCAATTCCCGTGCCCCATAGATATATCCATGTATTTTAGGTACAAATAACATGTTACGTATGGTTTGAGGTGATTCTTTTGCAGACACCACTTTTGGGAAATATATCCTCAAACTAGATGAGGTATTCCACAGTAAAGGGTCCGAGAGCCTTGCCAACAAGCGGTGTTATTTAACTCTGAAGCTAACGCATGACTGGCCGGGGTTTCAATCCGCCGTCTGCTGAAGTGGACAAATCTGCGGACAAAAAGACCCCCCAGAATAACATTAACACAAAATTCTACGGTCTGTAACTAGCAATAGTCCATAGTAAGGGGATATATGTACCCCTTTCAGCTACGCTTCCGAGGTCACGAGGTGCAGTTGCTTTAACGAAGATGACCACTACTTGGTCGATCTCGACCTAGTCAGGACAAGCATTGGGTTTATAGCTTGCACTGTACAGTTGCTTATGGCATAGATAATGTCATCTGCCTACTTACGTTGATTTGTAGATCGCTATAATGGAAGTGATGAGCTCATTCGCGTCCGGTGAAGGGTGAAATTTCGGTTTCGCACTTGGTAGCTTGGGAATAATGTCTTAGGTGCTAGTTGCGAGAACTACATACTGAGACTCCGTGATTTCCCGTCCTTAGTACTCTGCCCCTAGCAGGATCTTCTATTGCCTTAAAGCTTGGCGATGAGCTTCGGTATAGTGAATACCGAAGCTCTAATCTACGTAGTCACAATACATACATATACCTACCTACATTGATGCAATAAGAGCCGTGATAGCCCGAACTACCAGGCACCATACAGACCCGCAGCTAGTTACATAGTATCTTGTTCTATTGCAGGAAAATGGCCACCTAGGGTTACTATACTGCGTGTTGTGAGTTGGCCTGGCTTGGCTTAATCACATCCATAAAAGCAACCTTGGAAGGCCTAGATCAATTGACCAGACCATGTGGGGTCGTAATCCCGCGTAGAATGTACATATGAAGGCTACTAGCGCAGCTTTAACTGAGATCAACACCTAAGTATTTCAGCCCCGGAGACTAGGCGAACTACACTCGGCTACGGTTGCCAACACAGAACGTCATTGTTCTAGCGAGCGACGACTACGTTTTGTCCGAGCCTGGGCGTTTAAATCAGGTGCAGACCAAGACGAGATGTTGCTGGGCTGGTCTGAAAGATATTGCCCGACTCCATCATAGACTTACCCAAATGCGTCATCTCGGCTAGATATCGAGTGCCACGATTGCTGGCGGGAACAGACACGATATGTACGAGGCTTCCATCCGAGAAGCAGATTCAAAGACACCACGGAGATAATTTCAGACAACTTGATTGGACATGTCAGGGAATCTCTCATGAAGGTAAATGAAATTGATTCATTTGCTTAGCCACGAGCCTTGTTTTTTTTTGGACTCGCGTGCTAGCTGTTCCTGTTCATCTTTAATGTTTTAAGAGAACCATTCCCAGCCGTTTTCCCCATAACGTTCGCTCCACCGTAAAAGGACAACACCGACAAAAAGCACGCTTAGCGCTTGGCGGCCTTCTGCTGGGACTCCTTGAGGACCTTCTTGACGATCTTCTGCTCCTCAATCAGGAAGGCACGGACAATGCGGTCCTTGACGCAGCCAGCGCAGCGAGAGCCACCGTAGGCACGGCTGACATTCTTCTTGGGGCGCGAGATCTGAGAGTACTCGCGGGGCGGAGGGCAGGGATCTGGTTTAAAAAAAAATCGTTAGTCGATCCGGCTCCCAAAATTCAACGAGACGGTCGTATGGAGATTGTAGCGTTTCGGTTGACCATTTGTTCGCACATCCGTCCACCCAGACAGAGTTTTTTTCGAGTCGTTCGGTTGGCCCACACGCAATCGCACACATCCCACACAACCGTTCAAAAATGCATCAGGGACGCCGAGGGACTACTCACACCGGGGAGCTTGATGCCGCAGTCACCGCACTTGGGAGCAGTTCCCTTCTTCTTCAGGTGAAGGTAACGGAGCTCACCGCCGGGGGTCTTGACGATGCGAACCTTGTTGGACCGCGTGTTGTACCTATTGAAAGCAAGAAAATCCGTCAATAACTCCTTCGAAAAGGTGATGGCCACCCCGCTACTCGAATCATCGTATAGATCATGGTCGTTCGAGGGAATAGTCTTTGTGAGGGAATTTTGAAACGTACGGGTTCCGGCGGCGCTGAAAATCGAAAAAGAGTCAGATCAATAATTTTCCGGCCAGGATTTTCTCGTAGAACTCACGTATTGCAGTCTGTTGTTGGTCATCTTGACTGTACTTGAACTGGTCAAGGGCGGCAGTTGTCGGAGTTGTCGTGAAGCAAAGTGAAATATGTCGAGATGGGTTTGTGTGGGTTTCTGCTTCAGCCGACGCTAGCGCAGATTTGGCGAGGTTGCGCTAGTCCCAATGCGGAATAGTGCCAGTCGGAGCCGCCACTTCTCAAAGTTCGACGGGGACAGGAGCAGAGATAGTCACATCGCGTAGGGGATCGTGGATCTCTATCTTTGTCGCGTTTGCATCTCAATCTTCCATCTTCCCATCATCCAGCTATTTCCTTTTAGTTGTATTTCTTTTTTACTAGCTGCAGGTCTTGCTACACATGACCTCCAACCTGGCTTGACGCGACTTGGAGCCAACACAACCTCTACGAGGGAGGGTTCCATCCATCAATCACCATCATGGCATCTTTGCCTCCTCCCCCTCCTCCACCTCCAGGATGGGGTGCAGCTCCTCCTTCCATGCCACTGGCGCCGCCGCCCCCGGGCTACCAGCCGCCGGCCGACCCAAATGTCGCAAAATTTGCGCAGAAGAAAAATGAATGGCTGCGCACGCAACGCAATCGGTTCGGGGAGAAGCGCAAAGCAGGATTTGTCGAAACACAAAAGGCTGATATGCCACCAGAGCATCTGCGAAAGATTGTCCGAGATATTGGCGATGTTTCGCAGAAGAAGTTCACCAACGAGAAGCGGAGCTACCTCGGTGCGCTCAAGTTCATGCCACATGCCGTCCTCAAGCTATTGGAAAACATGCCCATGCCTTGGGAGTCAGCAAGAGAAGTTAAGGTGCTTTATCACGTCAACGGTTGTCTCACTCTAGTCAATGAGACACCGCGTGTCATCGAGCCTGTCTTCCACGCCCAATGGGCAACGATGTGGATGTGCATGCGTCGGGAGAAAAGTGACCGCAGACACTTCAAGCGGATGCGTTTCCCCCATTTGACGACGAAGAACCACCTCTTTCGTGGTCCGAAAACATTGAAGATGTTGAACCGTTGGAGCCCATTCAGATGGAACTGGATGACGTCGAAGATGCGGCAGTTTATGACTGGTTCTACGATCACCGTCCCCTTCTTGATACCCCCCACGTGAATGGTCCGAGCTACAAGAAGTGGAATTTGTCTCTTCCCCAGATGGCGACTCTCCATCGGCTCAGTCACCAGATTCTGAGTGATGTTGTCGACCAAAACTACTACCACATGTTCGACTTGAACAGCTTCTTCACAGCCAAGGCCCTTAACGTCGCCATTCCTGGTGGACCCCGTTTCGAGCCTTTGTACAAAGATATCGATCCTAATGACGAAGATTTCAGCGAGTTCAACGCCATTGACCGCATTATCTTCCGTGCCCCGATTCGAACTGAGTACCGGGTCACCTTCCCTTTCCTCTACAATACCCTGCCTCGAAGTGTCAAGGTCGCTTGGTACTCCCATCCCCAGGTTGTCTACGTTCGCACCGAGGATCCTAACCTGCCGGCTTTCTATTTCGACCCCGTCATCAACCCGATCTCCTCCCGCTCCGTCGCACCTAAAAATATCACCGTCAGCCATGAAGACAAAATCTTCGGGCCTGGCAATAATGAAGACGACGAGTTTGAGCTTCCGGGTGACGTTGAGCCCTTCTTTGACGACGAAGAACTTTACACACCCGACACCGCGTCCGCCATCGCCCTGTGGTGGGCCCCTCACCCATTCGATAAGAGATCTGGCAAGATGGTTCGTGCACAGGATGTGCCGTTGGTCAAGCAATGGTACTTGGAGCACTGTCCACAGGGCCAACCTGTCAAAGTCCGAGTCTCGTACCAGAAGATGCTCAAGACCTACGTTCTCAACGAATTGCACAAAGGCACACCCAAGGCTCACAGCAAGCAGAACCTCTTGAAGACCCTCAAAACGACTAAGTTCTTCCAGCAAACAACGATCGACTGGGTTGAGGCCGGGTTGCAAGTTTGTCGCCAGGGTTTCAACATGCTGAATCTGCTGATTCACCGCAAGAATTTGACTTATCTCCATCTTGATTACAACTTCAACTTGAAGCCTGTGAAGACATTGACCACCAAGGAGCGTAAGAAGTCTCGCTTCGGAAATGCTTTCCACTTGATGCGTGAAATTCTCCGGTTGACCAAGCTCATCGTCGATGCCCAAGTCCAATATCGTCTGGGTAACATCGATGCTTTCCAACTTGCCGATGGTATTCTTTATGCCTTCAACCACGTGGGCCAGCTTACCGGTATGTATCGGTACAAGTATAAGCTTATGCACCAGATCCGTTCCTGCAAGGATCTAAAACACTTGATTTACTACCGATTCAACTCCGGTCCCGTTGGTAAGGGCCCCGGATGTGGTTTCTGGGCGCCCGCTTGGCGAGTTTGGCTTTTCTTCATGCGTGGTATTATCCCGCTCCTTGAGCGCTGGCTCGGAAACCTGCTTTCCCGTCAGTTTGAGGGTCGTCACAGCAAGGGTGTTGCCAAAACGGTCACCAAGCAGCGTGTGGAGTCTCATTTCGATCTTGAATTGCGTGCCTCCGTCATGGCCGATCTTATGGACATGATGCCCGAGGGTATTAAGCAAAACAAGGTCAACGTGGTTCTGCAGCATCTATCAGAGGCTTGGAGATGTTGGAAGAGTAACATCCCATGGAAGGTTCCCGGCCTACCCGCACCGATTGAGAACATCATTCTTCGCTATGTTAAAAGCAAGGCCGACTGGTGGATCTCTGTCGCTCATTACAACCGAGAGAGAATTCGCCGTGGTGCCACAGTTGACAAGACTGTCGCAAAGAAGAACCTTGGCCGACTCACCCGTCTCTGGCTCAAGTCAGAGCAAGAGCGTCAACACAACTATCTGAAGGACGGCCCTTACGTTTCCTCTGAAGAGGCAGTTGCAATTTACACCACCATGGTTCACTGGTTGGAGTCTCGAAAGTTCTCCCCGATTCCCTTCCCCAGTGTTTCCTACAAACACGACACTAAAATCCTGATCCTTGCACTCGAGCGGCTGCGCGAATCTTACTCTGTGAAGGGCAGACTGAACCAAACCCAGCGAGAGGAATTGGCTCTTATTGAACAGGCCTACGATTCTCCCGGTACAACCTTGGCGAGAATCAAGCGATTCCTCCTGACACAGAGAGCGTTCAAGGAGGTTAAGATTGACATGAACGACAACTACAACAACATCAATCCTGTCTATGACATTGAGCCCATCGAAAAGATCACCGACGCTTATTTGGACCAGTACCTTTGGTACCAAGCAGAGCAGCGCCATCTCTTCCCCGCTTGGATCAAGCCCTCCGACTCTGAGGTTCCTCCTCTACTTACATACAAGTGGACACAGGGTATCAACAACCTGTCCAATGTCTGGGAGACTGCGGAAGGCGAGACGAACGTGATGATCGAGACTGAGCTGTCCAAGGTCTATGAGAAGATTGATATCACTCTGCTGAATCGCTTGCTCCGTTTGATCATGGACCACAACCTGGCTGACTACATCACCTCGAAGAACAATGTTCAGCTCAGCTACAAGGACATGAACCACACCAACAGCTACGGCCTGATTCGCGGTCTGCAATTCTCGGGCTTCGTGTTCCAGTACTACGGCTTGATGATCGATTTGTTGCTTCTTGGTTTGCAGAGAGCCAGTGAAATGGCCGGTCCTCCCGGAAGTCCCAACGATTTCTTGCAGTTCAGAGATCGTGCTACTGAGACAAGACACCCCATCCGTCTGTACACCCGTTACGTTGACAAGATCTGGGTCTTCTTCCGATTCCAGGCCGATGACTCCCGCGACCTGATCCAGCGGTTCTTGACCGAGAATCCTGACCCTAACTTCGAGAACGTCATTGGTTACAAGAATAAGAAGTGCTGGCCTCGTGATTGTCGTATGCGCTTGATGCGTCACGATGTCAACCTTGGTCGTGCTGTTTTCTGGGACATGAAGAACCGCCTTCCAAGATCCATCACCACCATTGAATGGGATGATACATTCGCCAGCGTGTACAGTAAGGACAACCCCAATTTGCTGTTCTCGATGAATGGATTTGAAGTCCGGATTCTCCCCAAGATGCGGAATTTGAACGAGGAGTTCTCGGTCAAAGACAGTGTCTGGTCTCTGGTAGACAACTCCACCAAGGAACGTACGGCACATGCCTTCCTCCAGGTCACTGAAGAGGATGTTCAAAAGTTCAATAACCGTATCCGACAAATCCTTATGTCCTCTGGTTCGACCACATTTACCAAGATCGCCAACAAGTGGAATACTGCTCTAATTGCTCTTTTCACTTACTACCGTGAGGCTGCTGTGTCGACTGTCAACCTTCTCGATACCATCGTGAAGTGTGAAACAAAGATCCAGACTCGAGTCAAGATTGGTCTGAACTCTAAGATGCCGTCTCGTTTCCCTCCGGCGGTCTTCTACACACCCAAGGAGCTTGGAGGTCTTGGTATGATCTCGGGATCTCACATCCTCATCCCCACCAGTGATAAGCGCTGGTCCAAGCAGACCGACACTGGTATCACCCACTTCCGAGCGGGTATGTCTCATGACGAGGAAACATTGATTCCGAATATCTTCCGATACATCATTCCCTGGGAAGCCGAGTTCATTGACTCTCAGCGTGTTTGGATGGAATACTCGCAGAAGCGTATGGAAGCCCAGCAGCAGAACCGCCGCTTGACGTTGGAGGATCTTGAGGACAGCTGGGATCGTGGTCTTCCCCGTATTAACACGCTCTTCCAGAAGGATCGGAGCACCCTCAGCTTTGACAAGGGATTCCGACTCCGCGCTGAGTTCAAGCAATACCAGCTGATGAAGAGTAATCCGTTCTGGTGGACTAGCCAGCGACACGACGGTAAGCTCTGGAACCTCAATGCTTACCGCACTGATGTTATCCAAGCATTGGGTGGTGTTGAAACAATTCTCGAGCACACTTTGTTCAAGGCAACAGCTTTCCCATCCTGGGAAGGTCTGTTCTGGGAGAAAGCGTGTCTCGCCAAGGGAACCCGTCTCTTGCGATGCGATGGAACCGAGATCAATGTCGAGGACGTGCGCGAAGGTGACCTTCTTCTGGGTCCCGATGGGGAGTCTCGCCGTGCATTCAACATAGTGAATGGCATGGACCGCCTGTATCGCATCAAGATCGGCGGTGAGAAAGAAGATCTTGTGGTGACGCCGAACCATATTCTGGTGCTTTATAGAGAGGATGGTTCCAAGAATGTGGAGAAGCAAACGGTGGAGATCACTGCTGCCGAATTTGCTACACTTTCTACCGAGGAAAGAAGCCTCTATAGTGCCTTTACATCTCCTAGGGCTGAGAAGGGCGCCGATGATTCGGCTCAAACGCACAGTTTCAAGATCGAGCAAATTAGCCTCGAATCTGAGAAGACAGAGTGGGCTGGTTTCCGAGTCGACAAAGATCAGCTTTACCTGCGTCATGACTACCTTGTCCTGCACAACAGTGGTTTCGAAGAGAGTATGAAGTTCAAGAAGCTTACCAACGCTCAGCGATCCGGTTTGAACCAGATTCCCAACCGTCGGTTCACTCTCTGGTGGTCGCCGACCATCAACCGCGCCAACGTCTACGTTGGTTTCCAGGTACAACTCGATTTGACCGGTATCTTCTTGCACGGCAAGATTCCCACCCTGAAGATTTCGTTGATTCAGATTTTCCGTGCCCATCTGTGGCAGAAGATCCACGAATCGGTCGTCATGGACTTGTGTCAAGTCCTGGACCAGGAATTGGAGCAGCTTGGCATCGAGGCCGTTCAGAAGGAGACTATTCACCCACGTAAGTCTTACAAGATGAACAGCTCTTGTGCGGATATCCTGCTCTTCGCGACGAACAAATGGAATGTCACCCGACCTTCCCTCGTGTTCGATACCAAGGACGTCTACGAGCCGACCACAACAAACAAGTTCTGGATCGACGTGCAGCTTAGATATGGTGACTACGATTCTCACGACATTGAACGGTACGTTCGTGCTAAGTACCTCGACTACACCACGGACAGCATGAGTATCTATCCTTCCGCCACTGGATTGATGATTGGCGTTGATCTTGCATACAACCTCTTCTCGGCTTACGGACAGTACTTCCCAGGCCTCAAGACTCTGGTTCAGCAGGCTATGGCTAAGATCATGAAAGCTAACCCAGCTTTGTATGTCTTGCGTGAGCGTATCCGCAAGGGTCTCCAGCTCTATGCCTCGGAGAGCAGCCAGGAGTTCCTCAATTCTCAGAACTACTCCGAGCTCTTCAGCCCACAGATCCAGCTCTTCATCGATGACACTAACGTCTACCGCGTCACGATCCACAAGACCTTTGAGGGTAACTTGACTACGAAGCCCATTAACGGTGCAATCTTTATCTTCAACCCTCGGACTGGACAACTGTTCCTGAAGATCATCCACACCAGTGTCTGGGCAGGCCAAAAGCGTCTGGGTCAGTTGGCCAAGTGGAAGACAGCCGAAGAAGTTGCAGCTCTCATTCGGTCTCTCCCTGTGGAAGAGCAACCGAAGCAGCTTATTGTCACCCGTAAGGGTCTTCTTGACCCTCTCGAGGTCCACCTACTCGATTTCCCTAACATCTCCATTCGTGCCTCTGAGCTCCAGCTGCCCTTCCAGGCCGCCATGAAGGTCGAGAAGCTGGCCGATATGATTCTCCGTGCAACCGAGCCTCAGATGGTACTTTTCAACTTGTATGACGAGTGGCTCAAGTCTATTTCCCCGTACACTGCCTTCTCTCGCCTCATTCTCATCCTTCGGGCTCTTCACGTCAATATCGATAAAGCCAAGATCATTCTTCGGCCCGACAAGACCGTTATCACCCAAGAACACCACATCTGGCCGTCCCTGTCTGATGAGGACTGGATCAAGGTCGAAGTGCAATTGCGTGATCTGATCTTGAACGACTATGGCAAGAAGAACAACGTCAACGTGCAGAGCTTGACCAGTAGCGAAGTTCGTGATATTATCCTGGGTATGGAGATTAGTGCACCTTCCCTGCAGCGACAGCAGGCGGCGGAGATCGAGAAGCAGCAAGAAGAGCAGAAACAGCTCACTGCTGTGACGACCAAGACTCAGAACGCTCGTGGTGAGGACATTGTCGTTACCACTACCTCTCAGTACGAGCAGCAATCATTTGCTTCTAAGACAGAGTGGCGTACTCGTGCGATTGCGACCTCCAACCTCCGAACGAGGGCCAACAACATCTATGTCTCCTCTGACGACATTCGGGATGAAGGCTACACCTACATCATGCCTAAGAACGTCCTCAAGCGATTCATCACCATCGCCGATCTTCGAGTGCAGGTCACGGGTTACATTTACGGTAGCTCTCCCCCAGACAATGATCAGGTCAAGGAGGTCCGCACCATTGTCATGATTCCACAAGTGGGTAACACCCGGGACGTCCAGCTGCCACACCAGTTGCCGCAGCACGACTATCTCCAAAACTTGGAGCCGCTTGGTATCATCCATACAGTGTCTGGCAATGAGCCGCCGTACATGCCTGCCGCAGATGTCACACATCACGCACGGCTCATGAACGCCCATCCTTCGTGGGATAAGAGGACCGTGACCATGACCGTCTCTTTCACTCCTGGATCCGTTTCGCTTGCCGCCTGGGGTCTCACTCCGGCGGGCTACAAGTGGGGTGCAGAGAACAAGGACACAACCTCGGATCAGCCTCAAGGCTTCTCCACCAACATGGGTGAGAAGTGTCAGCTGCTCCTCAGTGACAAGATCCGCGGCTATTTCCTTGTGCCCGAGGATAACGTCTGGAATTATAGCTTTATGGGCAGCTCATTTGGTAGCGTGGAGAAGAGACCTATCTACGTCAAGATTGACACCCCGCTTAAGTTCTACGATGACCAGCACCGTCCCCTGCACTTCCAAAACTTTGCCGAGCTCGAAGACATCTGGGTTGACCGGTCTGACAACTTTGCGTAAATATGTGCAGCTGATCAGGCGCAAAAATGTCTTTTTCTTTTTTTCTTTTCCCAGCGTTGTCTTTTTTCTCCCCCTTTTGTTTTCTTTTTCATTTGGGTTCTTGTATCACGACAACCATAATTCATGTATTGCAGCGAGAACCTAGGGAAAAAGGCCAGTGTGGATTTATTTGTACAATACGAGTTTCCTTGGAATAGATTTTCTGTTCACTTCAATATTTTTTTTTCATTTTATCGTCTAACAAGTTTTTCTCCCCTGTAAGTATACGAGGATGCGGTTGGCTTCAGAATGCACCAGTTTACATCGCCACCTTTTCCCTATGAAGATTGCCGCGATGTATGTGAAGGCTGCCTGAGCAGACGCCCAATAGAACTATAGAACATCAGCCGAAGGTCCGTGGACATTATGGAAAAGAAATATATATATCTGCGCAATTATTGAAATCAAGGTCTGCCTAAGCTCTCCACTTTTGACGCATCAGACTCTTTTGTATTGACAGATGACGGCCCGCATGCAGCTAACACACTTCGGCAGTCTTTCCGAATCACATCACATCTCTTGAAGTACATTCAATTAAATCCAACTGGAGAATAAAGGACAACATTGAATCAAGTAGAGTGTATGAGATTGTATGGGAATGTCCGCGGGTGGCTGAAAAGTCCATGTGATCCAACTTAACCCTCATCTCCTCCAATAATCTCTTTCGATTGTTAGAATGTCTCTTCTTCCAACGATAGAACTCAAGCCCCAACGCCAATATTGTTCTCAAGTGTCTGTTTCATCCCCCTGTTCTTCTTGATTTGTTCTATTGGACGTCTGAATTGACTCCCGCAGGCCTTGGCTCCGAAGAAGCCCGGTGCAATAGAATAGCTTGCCATCGCTTACTCGACTAGCCTATACTGTATCAATCAGCCGATACAGTATGTCTTCTTTTCCACGGCGCAGTTGCATGGTAGATCGGTCTGACGAATGAGCTGTTTGATTTGTTATGTGCCCGAAGCCTGACAGGCTTCATCTATGTGCCGTGTCTTTTTCTTTTGTCTTGACTCTTGACTCTTGACCACAGACTCACCCTGGTCACATATTTTGCGTTTGCTCTTTTACTCCCCCCCCCCAATTAGTAGGCGCTTTGCCAACAATACTTTTGGGGAGGGTTCTACCGCTTCGAAGGTTTATTTTTTTTTTAGACCCCTCCCTTTGATGTTGGGAGTCTGTGCGAAAGCAAAGAAAATCAGCTATCCCAGGCCGGAAAGATGGGATACAACCTGCCTATCGCGAAATAACTTGACTACGATGATACAGAGTCCTCTTGCAGTCCGGTCCACTGGTGACTGATAGAATCAGCCCGGCAACGCACGCTCCAACCTGGTCACCGGCACACTGTTGGATTTCTAGGGGCTCTCCAGATGTTGTTATAGATATGTCCGTCTCTTCTTTTTTCGTTCGCTCATGATCTAGGAAAAATCTTTGTTATCTCACCTTACTATACATTATGTATGACCGGTTCTCCTACAAGAACCGCCTACAAATTGACCCAAAGTAATCCTATCCTTTTCTGCACATCCGCTGAGGCCTTTCTCTTCTTTGTTGCAATACATATACAGGCAAGTTTCTCTTCGCATCATCCTATGCAGCAGCAGAAGCCTTTTCCTTTCTTTTTTTGTTTGCCTTCCAAGTCTAGAGAGACACGTGGGAAATAACCACGCCCTGAAGTCGGTCATCTCCAGCAGCCACTAAGCCACTTACTGGGGCTGCAGGTCCTGGTGTTGTTTATATATGTCTGAAGCACCAGCGGACCCTTACAGAGACCTCATGGTTAACTACGCTCCTCATGACAGTGGTAAAGATGCGAACCGGGAGGATATCATTCCCTACGGCGCAACGCAGTTGCCCCAAGAGAGGCCTACTGAAATTCGCTACCACTCTAATACAACCCAGCCACCCTTTGGTTCTCCATCGACGTTTATCACGAACCACTCGCCCCCACGTCAGTCAGGGTCGCATTACAACACACACGGGTATAGACTCTCCCCAATCCAGGGTAGCAGAAAACGACGACGTACCGACAACGGGCCTGAGGCCAGTGAAGACACTGAACACAACTATGGGTACCGACCTATCTTGCAAAACCTACCCATGGGTGACCCATCGGCTCCAGGAGGCGAACCGGCCGGCCTGACGTACGCTGATGTTGGCCCTTCGTCTTCTCACCAGACATCGAACCAGGACTACCTCCAGCCTGCTCTTCCACAACAGCATCACCACCATCGACTACCACCCCAAGCATTTGGTGCGTCCTCCGTGGGTGATCAATACCAGCCGCAAATCGACCGTAGCTTCATGAACCTTCCAGGCGTGCCTGCACCATACCCTAAGCCAAAGGCACCGAAGACTAGATTTGGTCACAAGGAAGATGAGATGTTGATAGCCCTGAAGGAGCATTGGAAGTTTTCCTGGAGGCAGATTGAGTGCTTCTTCCCAGGGCGAAAACAACAGACATTACAGGTCCGTTACTGTACCAAGTTGAAGGAAAGGGACGTGGTTTGGGATGCTGCTTTGGTATGTTTATCCTCACCCAAAAAACTGGGACTGTGCTAATTCTTAGGAAGGATCAAAAACTGAAAAAGGCGCTGGAGGACTATGAGAACAACAAATGGGCGCACATTTCCCGGAAGCTTGGACCTGGTATACCACCAGCGGCGTGTAAGCTGAGAGCCGAAGAGCTTGAGTGTTGATTGAGTTTCTGTTTTGCTAGTTTAGAGGGACTTGTTTATTATATTGTGATTTATAGCGCGTGTGTCTATTTTATTCCAAGGTTGTCAATATATCACCCCATGCCCTACCCAGAGAAGCCCTAGATGTTCCAAAACGGACATTCTGCCGCTCCAAGTCGTAGCTGACCAGACCGCCCTACAGAGCTCCTGCCAATGAGAATGGATGACTCATCATCAGTCGCGGTCCTATTGGATGACCTAGCCAGCCAATCACAGGAGGTCGGACCAAAGCGGCTTCAAACTCGCCCAACCTCAAACCTCCAAACTCCCTCTCCTGCCCTAAACGCCCCGCGTCAACCACCCCATCACCTCCAGGACAATGTTCCTCCAACGTACAGCCTCCGCCCTCGCCAGGCGCTCGCCTGCCCGCGCTTTCACCCTCGCCCAGCGCCCCTTCTCTTCCTCCGTCATTCGCTGTACGTAACTCCTCAAATGGCCTGATCCGACCTTCGCACAACTGCTCCAATCCCCGCGCACCCCGACCACAAGGGGTTATTTACCGTCAATTGCAATTGATATGGAGAACCTATTGCGATTACCAGCTAACGCGAAACTTTTATAGCCAACGAGAAGAAGTGGGCTCCCAAGCAGGAGGGCAAGATCCTGACTTTCGATGGTTAGTGCTTTACCCGATCCCATAGCAGTCAATTGCTTTTCTTCCAGCCTCTGCACCCCGAGAAATATTCATATAGCCACCCGCTCGAGAATCTGTGTGCAATTGGACGCTATGGAACCTCGGGTGTTGGATATGCGGATACTTTTCCCGAGTCACGGGCCACGCTTTTCTACATGAAGTGGATATCATATCCTACAAAATATCTACAAAACACAATACTGACCTATTCCTCTTGTCCGTATATAGAGATCAAGGTCGAGGACGACCTCCTTGCTCCCGGTGCCAAGCCCGGTACCATTCCCACCGATCTCGACCAGGCCACCGGTCTCGAGCGTCTGGAACTCATCGGAAAGATGCAGGGCATTGACATCTTCGACATGCGTCCCCTTGATGCCTCCCGCAAGGGTATGACTCCTTGACATCTCCCTCAACATCCCATCACAGTTCCTGATTGAATGACCGAATACTGCCGCGGAATCACATGATCATTGTTTTGGGACGAAGACCGAGACATTGGCTGACGAAATGGGTGGATTTATACAGGCACACTCCAAGATCCCATCATCGTCAACAGCGCCGGTGATGAGCAGTACGCTGGTTGCACCGGTTTCCCCGCAGACTCCCACCAGGTCAACTGGCTGACCGTATGCCGCCCCATCCAAGCCCAACCGGGCCTCATATCTCCAGCTCTAGAGACTGACTCTACATGTTTTAGGTCTCCCGTGAGCGCCCCATCGAGCGCTGCCTCGAGTGCGGCAACGTGGTCAAGATGAACTACATCGGACCCGAGGAGGACCCCCACGCCCGTATGTTACTCGCTCTCTTTTCTTTCCCCCTATATATGATAGTCTGCTGGTTGTACTGACATTCTTGTTCTCAGACGACCACGACCACGGTCACCACCACCCCCCTCACGTCGAGCCCAAGACCTTCGCCGACTACGTCAAGCCCGACTACTGGTACCGGTAAATATTTAATGCCGATTTTCGTTGGTTGTTGCTTGGAAATCCCAATACAGTGTGAACATTATGCTGCGTGTCTGTCTCTGTTCTGTCTCCGTGACTCCCTCCGTCTCTTTTGTACTATAGTGCTCTAGTAGATGAAATGAGAGTATTGGTGGGGTTCTTATTTTTGACCTTTGATGTCTGTTTGGGTTTGTAGTTATATAATATGAGATGGGATATCGCTGGTGTTTCTGTTGGTGAAACTTCTTTGACACTGGTGTTAGGAGTACTGGTATCAGATGGAAAGAGAAAAAAAAAACTCTATTTTCAAGTCTACCCATATATCGCGTTTGATCTAATGTAGACGTATGCATCCAGGAAATGCGGTAGTATAAGCGAAGCCTCTAATGAGACGCCGTGCAGAGCCTTGTCCAAAAGCACCATATGACTCTTATGCTTGGACATGACATCATATACCATGGATATATCGGTCAGGCCTAGCGACCCACGAAACGAAGTTCGACGAATCTGAGAGGAGGGTAAACAAGCGCAGTCCAACAGAACCCGACGTAAATACCCATCTAGTGAGTAATAAGTTAGAATCAAAGACACATGACGGGAACCTTGGAAGTATAGGTAGGATTCAACTTACATCAGCACCGTATTCACCGACCAATTTAGCAATGGGTCCGATGTACCACACCTGCGCCATACACAATACAGCACCCACCCAGCCAACAACGAAGGCAGTGAAAGCCGCAATGCCAATGGGCAGCTTTGACGGATCCCGCCAGATGTGCCAGTTATACCCAGTGCGGAGGCGGAAGATGAACCGCTCCTCGAGAACAATAGCAATCCAGATGACAACCCAGTAGCCCATCAAAGCGAGGAAATTGGTGAAGATCTCGGAGAGGTTGCTGCGGCCAACTAGCGCGCAGACGGTATAGATAATGACGGCAATCGTATTCCAGATGACGCGCGGTACTGCCTCGGCGTAACGACCGAGGATCTGGAAGTCGATGCCGGCGGAGTAAGTGGGCGCCACGGTATTGGCGATCAGGCCTAGGGCACAGATCACAGAGCAGAATTTGCCGAAGCCGTGTAGCGGGCTGAATCCTTCGACGATTAGGGCTCCTTGGCCTTGCTCGTAAGCAGCGGAGTACTCTGGGTGTATGGAGACTCCTGAGGCTAGCCCGACGCCGCTGACTAGGGCCATTGTGAAGGAGACGAGGAGGCCTCCCAGGCTGAGGCCGAATAGTTTCGCCCGGGAGGTGTTTTCGGGGTAGTAGACGAAGAAGTCCGCTGCTAGTGGGGTGTAGGTGACTGCGGCACTCAGACAGATGGAGAAGAAAGATAGCCTGGGACAATGTTAGAAAATCTGGCCTTCAATTCTTAAGTCTGAGATGCAGACTCACCTATTGCCAGCTACTGTCCGGGAATCGCCGGTAGAGGCGGTCGACAAATCAAATTTCACTGATGACACTCCGAAAAGGATGCAGACCACAATTACTTGGGGCAAAAAGGCGAATCTAGGACAGTCAGTTACACCATACCTCATGGCAATAATCTCTCATACTAACCGTTCATAGTAGTGGAAGACTTGGATGCCGAATGTGGCCACAGCCCAACTGATAACCGCGACGATCACGATGCCTATTCAAATCAATTAGTACCACTATTAATGTGTAAGATCCCCAAATTACCTACCGACAGCTACCGACATGCCACCAGGGGTGACAGCAGACAAGATTTGTCCGCCAACGACGCAATCGATCAAGCCGTATCCAATCATCTGAATGAGGTTCAATACAACAATGATCTTGCTGGGCCACCAGCCCATCGAATACCTTCCAAAGGCCTAGTCACCAATTAGCCCTCTCAATCAAATAATAGTCCAACAAATTCCCGAGATCAATGTGTTACGCACCAATGTCCGGATCCCGGAAACGGGTCCCCATGTGGCCATCCAAGAGGCGACAAAGGAACCAACGAAGGCGCCAAAGACAGCACAAAGTGCCGAATCACGGAAACTGAGACCATACACGGCAGGCCCTAGCATCCCAAGGGTAATATTATTGGGTGCAAGGTTGATAGAGATCCAAAGCAAGAAGACTTGCAGATACGACATCCACGTGTTGCGCTTCATGCGCTCATCCGCAGCAACTCGCTCGATACCACGCGCTTCCAGGTTATACTCGATGAGCTGATTCTCAAAAGCTCTAATAACGGAGCCCAATCGTGATCCAACGGGATTGCGGCGATTGGTCGTGGTCTCGGCGTAGAGTCCCTCATCCTTGTTGGCCACGCCGGGGGATTCAGGCGCAGATGTCGCCGGGTCTTCCTTGCTGGAGTGCACCGCTAGGGCGGTGATTTCATTTTCCGAAGCCATGCTGCCATTCTGTCAGTATCATACCTAATTTGTGAGGAGAGAAAAAGCGCATTGAGTCCTTTCGCTGGAATTACCCAGATCAAGTTTAACCGTATATTCTCAGAACGACAAGAGTCGAACACCGGTCTTCATGCAGGAGGCTTGTCCTATACCTTGATCGTGAGAGAATGCCACACTACTCGTCTTCATGGTAGCCGTCCCTTGTGCACAGGTTGTGTTACCTTCGAAGAGGAGTCACTATGAACACACTGTAGCGTCAGCGCACTTGGTCAGGCAATACACAGGGCTTGGTTTACCTTTGAAATCAAAGGCTTTTTAAGTGCAAACCAAAGTAACAGCAGGTAGCAGGAGGTAACCAATTGATGTGAAAAGCATCCGATTTCCAGTGGGGGAAAAATGGGGGAAGATTTGATTGCCGCGGGAAAAAAAATAAGATCGCCCGCTTTCCGCCTCCACCTGGACAATACTACTATACCTACATATGTAGGTACTACCTATAGTTAGTACTACTTACAACACACAGGCCATTGGGTGTCTGATTTCTGATGCAATTTCCTCATACTGGAATACCAGTGGGAATCATATGGTATTGATGAACACAAAAAGCGCAACCTTGGAAGAAAACAGCGCTTATCAAATCAAAACAGACAACGCCTTAGGGGGGAAACATGATCGCAAAGCAGCATGCGCAGGTGTTCATAGCGCATATCAAGTAAATTCGAGAATAATTCTGAAGGAAAAAAAGAAAAAAAAAGATCCAGATCACCAACTCCATCTGCCTTGTGAAATCAGTGGCCTCCAGCGGCCACCGATGAAACTTGCATCGCTCTGGAATTGCAGGGAATCCGGAAGAGAGAATGCCAAATTCGTAAAAGATGCTAAGAAAACGATATCATCACTTCATCAGTGTCGTGGTGGTCAGACGTTCTTGAAATGCTCTTTGGCATATTGTTCGCAAGCCTGGAAAATACCAAGATTAGATGGGATGCATAATGAGACTAATGACACGGGAAATTTTGACACTCACTTTGGCAGGCTTTCCCACTTTCTGACCGATCACCTTCCACTTGTTCGCCTCGTACTCTTTGATCGCCTCACGAAGCTTCACAGACTGTGTGACGTTAGGGGCGGATGCGACAACGGACATTAAAAGAAAATCGGGATCATACCTCATCTTCGGCAAATTCCGCGTAGTGCATGTCCTGCGTAAGCTGTCAGTAAGACGAGACGTGGTATTACCAAATCCACTTGATATTGCGCACCTTATACCAATGCTTCTTGACACTGCCCTCGGTTCGGGTCGGGAAAGTCTGCGACAGGAAAAAAAAGAACCCAGGTCAGCAACACATAGTTTCAACCTATAAAAAGCTGCGCGCGCGTACCTTGGCAATTTCACTCCAACTGCGCCCGGCATCGCGCATTGTCTTGAGCCGTTGCTCCTCCTCTGCGGTCCACGGGGTATTTGTGCGTCCCTTTTTCTTGGGCGTGGACTCGACCGTGGGAATCGCACCGGGGTCATCAATCGTACCACCCGCAGGATTCCCGGCTTGCATCATGGCTGACGATCCCGTAGGAGAAGGAGGGCGTTTGCGCGAAGCGCCGGGGTTTTGTTGAGGTAAAGGAGCAGTCGGAATCGGGATGCCTTCAAAGGTTGGGACGCGGTGGAATGGATGGATCTGTTGTTGGGCAAGCATATGCGGGGGAGCGCTGGTAGTTGCCGACGTCTTGAGTCGTTTAGATGTCGGGGGGGAACTAATCAGGCCAAGGGTCAGAGAATAGAAGAGACATAAGATGAGATGAGGCAATGTAATAAGAACGCGACCAAGTGGCACTTGAATTCCAACCCAGTCTCCCTCCCACAGCTGGAGGCCGGACGGAGATCACAGACGAAGGGACTTACGACATGGTGAAAGACACACGCGGTTTTCAATCACACTGTGCCGATTCATCTGTACATACAAAAAGGCCGCGTAGGGGGGGTTAGTAGGAACTGGTACTGGCGCGCCTTGGTCATCTCTCGGGAAGCGTTACACTAAAGACGATGACACAGGCGCATCCCAGGCAGAACCAGATTGAGAGAGGTAACAGGGACAATAGGAATAAGTCGCGACACAGAGAAGTCCAGACTCCGACCGGAGTGTTTTAACTCCTATGTGTTTGGAAGTCAAAGGGAAGGCTCACAGGTCAAAATCGCATGGTCGAAGCGTCGATTCGGGGACCTCGAATTCTTCCGATACGGGGAGAACATGAGGCTGAGTGATGACTTTTGGAAGTCAAGATAAGGTTGGAGGAAAGGAACTAAGAGAAAAGGTGACTTTTAAAAAAACAAAAGGGGAGAAAAGGGAGGAGAAAGTAAGAGAGACAAGGTTACAGAGAGAAGAGAAAGGAGGAGGAGAGGGAAGTTGTGAGGAAAGGCAGAGCGGGGATGGAGTCACCTCATATCACAACAAAGTAATAATAGCAGTAGAGATGTAATTTTATACTGTTGATACTGTATATACTGTTTATACAGTATTAGTTTTCACTTTTATACAATATATTAGTTCATCATGTTAAAATGATTGGAATGTTTTGATTTTCCTTTTGAAGATCATTCTTCGAATCTCCGTTTACTTGTAAACCCCCCTCTATTATTATTCCTCCTCTATATCTGTCACTCTTATAATCCCCCCCCTTTATGTTGGCTTTCCCTTATATATTAAATGTAGACTATTTATGCAATCAAATTAGAATTCAGTGTCGATTCAAATGCGCCTCCAACCACTCCCCCTCCGGTGCATTCCACAACCCGTTCTTTCCTGGCCTAGGAACCGATGCCCGGACAGGGGCCCTGTCACAATTTATGACTCGTCCTTTGATTCAATTCGACCGACGTCAAAATGCAGAAGCAAAGATAACCACGTCCGGCAGCTTCCATGAGACATTTGGGCCGAAGAGACCCGCGAGTGGCCTGTTCCAGAATCCGGTGACCCGGCGAGATCTCACAACACCGTGCGAGGATGACAGGACACGCCCAATGCGAGTCAACGACACGCCCGAGGGCCTAATTATTTCAAAGGCATCCAGTGGCCCCGGGAACTCATCCCGCAATCATTATCATTCAACTGACAGAAGTAGAAGTCTCCGTCCAACCCGAGACTTGGCGGGCTAGATCAGCCACAAAGACGGTTTCGTGTGAAGCCACCGGGGTACCATTTTCCCCTCTCTGCCCATCATGCAGGTTGTTGAGAGCATGCACGGTATGGGGTAGAGAATCTGGAGGACCCTATCAGCATTTATTTTTTTTGTCTTAATACAACGCGGGGTTCATTCAAGGCGTGTATATATTCAAGAAGCCCAGCCTCTCAGAATCCTGCTGGCATTTTCTTTGTCACACACATATTTCATCCCTGTCAATCTCCAATTGGTGACAATTAACAAAATTGCTGATGCCCAAGCCGACCAGGGCTACTGAATTTTCTGGCATTTCCAATTAACTAGGAAATATCAAGTGGTTATGATCGAGTAATGATCGAGTATCTCCGGTTTGGTTTGAGGATGATGCGTGCCAAAGATCAGGCTGAATTCTTTCTGGTGCGGCATATTATCAAGGCGAAAAGATACTGCCAAGAGTCACTGGTGGTAAATATGACTTGCATCACCCTGTTTTAATAAATAGGAAAGGTTTCTCTATCAAAATCGAGGGATATCAAGTTCCTTGATCAGCAACGGCCGAAAAGGATGTGTTTCATCAGGTGGTTCCAATACTCTGAATTTACTCGGCGAAAACAACAAAAGGACTCTTTGAATATAACCAGTTCCTTGCTGTTTTCACTGTTTTCACCCAATCAATTGTTTCAACCTTGGAATAGCTCTACGATGAAATAGGGCCCTTTCTACCATGTCAAGCTTCATTTACTAAATCATTAATCATTACTCCTGGGAACATTAACGAGGCTGATTATGACTATTGGGTACGGCTCATTTATAGCGATTACATCTGCTTTGGGATCGTACCGCGTCGCCTGCATCACCTGAAGCATCTAGGCCTTGTCGAATCCACCACGGTCACAAGTACAGATAATCAGATCTTGGTTTTAACTAAAATCCTGGGTCATCGGTATCACTCCAGAAGCTTAAGAAGAGCCTCGAATCAACTTCCGATAACTCAAATATCTATCGAGTAAGTTGTACGTCCTCTAGTATCTGCTCCTAGACATCCCCGCATCATTTGCTTCTCAGTTTATTCTTCTCCAAGAGTGCTTAGTGAACCCTGGGTTATCTGACTTGCTAAGACCAACATTTATCATAATATGTTTAGTACTTCGAAGCCCGATAGTCGAATATAAGTTTTAGTACTTATTTCACATGTTGTCGTACTGAATATATACATCGAGACCGCAACGTTGAACAGCACATGTCAACCATTACCGGCCACTAGGCAACAAGACAGACCCCCAGCAACCTCAATTCTTTCTTCTGACGTTGTCTAATAAAACCAATGCATCATATTTCTCACCATGCAACTACTTCAGCGCTTGCAAGGCTCGATTTACGCGCTGACGTCAACCTCACGTGAGAGGACACGCGGCCCGAGCTCATGTGGATCGCCGATAACGAACTCCCCCAGGTCACTCCAACAGCGCCAATATACCTTCACTTGTTGCATCTCACTGCACGTTAATCTCATTGGAGGGGACGTAAATGCACGGAAAATAGGTCCTTCCTCTTTCAATCTACTCGACAACACTTGATTCTCCCATTCGGCCAGATACTTGGCGCCGATCTCGATGGTGATAGCTTGACAAGTGTCCACACCCCGTGTTCAACTCATTGTTCGATTGTCCTATCACACCCCTCTAATCATGGTGACCTGGAATGTCTTTCGTATAATCGGAGATCTGTCTCATGCAGGCTCAATATGTGTCCTGCTCTGGGCTATCCACAAGAACAAGAGCGCCGAGGGTTCGTGCACCTTTGTATCAACCCGATTACCTAGGTACCCTGCAGAGCTTACTGACACAGTCATTTGAATTAGGCGTCTCACTCCTCACGCAGATCCTTTACGGCGTCGTCTTCGTATTTCGCTATCTTGATCTATTCGATCCCCGCACATACAAGAGTGGCACGTGGCACAGCATTTGGAATGTCTCCTTCAAACTATTCTACCTCATCTCATCCTCATACCTGGTCTTCCTGATGATGAAGGTGTTCCCGCGCGACGAGAGAGCGGGAACGAGCCTGGAAACTCGGTTTGTGGTCTGTGGCTGGGTCCCTTGTTTTGGCACCTATCTCAATCTGGCTTCTGGACACCGATGATTACAATGCATGGTTCATTGAGGTAAGTTGGACAAGTCCGAAGTATTCATCGTATTCGTGTTTTGCGGCCCAACTGATCCAATCACTTAGTTTTGCTGGGCTTTCTCTATTATTCTCGAGTCTGTGTGTGTTCTGCCGCAGCTCCTTCTCCTTCGCCAGACCACTGTCCCGACGGTGATCGACTCATATTACCTGCTTGCTCTGGGCTCCTACAGAGCATTCTACATTCTCAATTGGATTGTCCGCTTGTTCAACAAGGAGCCTTTCCATGATTGGATCGCGGTCGTGTTTGGCATTGTACAGACTGCCTTCTATGTCGACTTTGCATGGGTATACTATTCGCGCCAGCGAGTCAAGCTTCGCAATGGTGGTGTCGTTGACTCCGAGGACTATGGGAACAGTTGGCTAGTGAATCGTGTGGTGAATTTCCGAGCATCGCGAAATTCGGTAGACGAAGAACAGCGCCTTCGAGATGAGGAGGAAGGGGTGGATAGTCAACCAAACCACAACCGGTGGGGTGCTCGTGGCATTTCCATCGCAGCCGACGATACCTTGGAGAGCAATGATCACAATAAGGGACATCATCATGATGATAGCTTAGATGGGTTTTCGGGGATGAGGACGAAACCGATGATCACCGGGTGAACAATTCTCGTTAAGTGATGTTTCGCTATGGGGAGATTCGATCACATCATGGCATATCTATATGCCAGTTAGGTTGGATGTAGCGCAGAGTCTTGGACTAAAGGGGTTGATCCGTAGACTGCACGGGAAGACCCGTACCGTTCTAGTCTGGTTATCTCCCGGGGTTTGATACCCACCATTTTATTTTCGGGCCTTTTTTTATGATAGGATTAGGAAATGAGAACATGTACGGAGTATTCCGTGGTATGGCCCCATTGGGGGCCATTTTTTGCTCAGCATTCGGCCCCCACGAAGTACCGGACATATGTAGCTCATAAGACAAATGTCAGAAACGGAGTTCAATACGGGTTACAGGGGTGAAAATGAGAAAAGAATCAATACATACATATGTACGCAATAGTCAATACAAAGTCCGTACGGGCCTAGGAAATCTAATTGTTAGGATGGTCAAGGAACGCTGATATGCAAACCCGAGTATCTTTCGACCAATATCTCTGGCTCGACTAAGAGATCCTAACTACACAGTACCGTTGAGGACGTGTCAAAGTCCAAAAGTTTTGATGAATTCCTAATGAAAACATAATAATCAACGGCATCTAACCCTCGGTGAATTTGGGGGCCAAAATGTACTCACTACAAAGTACTTCCCTTGCAAACGGTCCCGAAGAGATATCTATCCAAGATTGGTGGGAGCTATCAGTTTTCAACATGCAATAGTTTTCCTAATTGTGATGTGCAGAGAGATCAAAGAGAAGTGGGCGTATTATTCCAGGTCTTCCAGGTCCAGACACACCTGGCTTTTCCTCGGGCGCTTAGAAGCAGGACGTGGCTCCAAGAGCTGACTCCGGCAGCAAACGATCACCGGAGATGTGGAGATTCGAGATCGAAGAGAGGGAAAAAAAATATTTACCTTTGCTCGAGGATCATTACAGGAACAAGAAGATACCTAGATGAAAAGAAATAGCAAAATAATACAAAGAAAGTTCCAAGGTTGTTCTGCACCTTCGAGATGACCAGGGTTTACCGGGTCTTTGCATCAGCGCTTAACCAGCGGTCATGAATTCTCCGTGGACAAAAGCCACCAAGCGGCTCGTGGGGTCTTCTCAGCCTCAATAGGATTTTGGTTCATCTATGGCCAGTCAAGAGCCGCCCGTCTTGAACAATGCCCCTGCATGGGGAAGAAGGATCGTAATCCCTCCATCTTTCCCATCCCAAACCGGTGTGTTGGAATTGAGTAGCGTCGAGTTGAGGGGTTTGTTTTTCTTTTCTTCTGGGGCCAAAATAAAACAATTTTAGAGTAGATAGGCTGTCAACAAGGCTGATTTATGCAGAAAATCTTTCTGAAGAAGGGGCCATATCAGTATTGGGGGCAGTTGACAGTTGAATGTCTTAAGACTCTAAGACTAAATTGAAAGATCCAGTGTTATAATTGAATTAGTTACAATTGACAGGCTTAGTATGAGTCTATATGGATATTACCTATTACCTAGGTATGGTTTTAATGGGGCCCTCCACAGTCCACTGGACCTCTCCAAAGCTCTAAGCGCTACGCTTTGGCTTTGTGGAGGATCATCCACAACCCTAAGCAGCACACGTTTTTCCTATTTTCCTATTTTTGCTTTTTTTTTTCCCTTTTATTTTATTTTTTTGGCCCGTTACAGTGGGTCTGAAGTCATTAGAATCACTTTAATTCCTATTCACAATGCAGAGTCTGAGCCCCCCCGTCATGGATGGGGGCGGAATATGGATATCAACATTGGACTATTGAGCCCGCAGCGCTTAAATACAGGCTCTCGTGAAGTCTTCATGAGTTTTCCTACGTTCTAATGCGGAACAGCGCTCGCCGGCGGTACTGATCTCTGTTTTGGTGCCCTCTGAGCCTATGGTTAATCCCGCGACTGATTGTTCACACCTTGCCTCACGAGGCATCCCGGTACTAGCTGTGATATCTCTCAAAGTGGAGGATAGGCGGACTTGTGCATGCCTCTTGCTTTTAAATCTTCCCCTCTTTTTCTTGCTCGCATGAATCTTATAAGATCGACTACCGTCGATGGTTGGGAAAGTAAATCTTCTCTTCAACATCTGGAGCGAAAGGCCTTGTTGATATACACATACAACCCTAACGCTTCAGCTACCAGCCGCCTGCAGTCCCACATCCTCCTTTGCCTCGAGTTTCATCTCGTTTCACATTCTGCTGCTTCGGCGTTTAATCTCCCCACTCAGACAACGCAGTGGACTTTGAAGCACCCCGTGTTTTATGTTCTGCTTGAGGACAACCAGTCAGCATCATGTCTAATCGCTCGGATATCCCCTGCTCTGAGGAAATGAGAGAGTACTACGAAAGCATCCCAGCTCATTGGCCCGAAATGCCAGCGGTATGTCCCTATGCACCTCTGATACAGGACATTGTATGCTTCCGCAACATGAGCTGACCCCGTATACGATCTAGACCCCGTTCGTGGGCTCTCACAGCCCTTACTGCACAGAGCCTCTAGCTCCGAACGGCATGCTCACACCTATCAGTCTCCCGGACAGCTCGTTCCGTGCCAGCCCAGCAATCAGCTACCACGCACAAGGCTACCACGTGCATGAATACCAATATAGCATCAATGACCCCCTCTCAGCTCCACTGGGTCTCGGTATCTCTGCACCCTTCCCGAGTGACTATCCCCGGTCTTCAGCCCCCGATCCCACATACCTGTATGCCCCGGACCCAAGTGGCATCCAGCATGGCGTGGCACAAACACCTAGCCAGTCGCCACAAGGTCCACCACCAGCCAAGCGTGCCAGACATGTCTCGGCGGAGGCGTCCTCGCGCGAGCACCCAAGCAACACACCAATCAACATCGCTCCCAATCCAGAAGGCGTCCTCCGCATGGAGCAAAATCGCCAGCATGTCCAGCCAACTTCACACATACTCCCCAAGGTCCGGGCCCCGGGCCGCGGCAGACGTGACCCCCAAGCAGAAGACGAAGACGCATTTGTAGAAGAGCTGCGAGATAAGCAAACAGCCTGGAAGGTCGTGCGCGAGGAATTCCGCGAGAGATTTAATAAAGATGCCTCCGAGGCGCGCCTGCAGATGCGCCTTCATCGCCGGCTGCGCGAGCGAATGGTTCGCTGGGAAGAATCAGATGTGAGTATGTTACCCCTGCAACGCATGGTATAAACAGTCTGTGTGCTGCATGAGCTGGAGTATACATGTGTCGAACAGTCCAGCTGATGCATGTCTTCTAGACAAAACTCCTGATCCACGCCCATGGGATCTGGGAAAAAGATAAATTCCAGTACCTTTCAGACAAGGTGAGATCCCCTATGCTTGTATGATATAAGGAAAGCTCTAATGCGTCTTTTGATCTTGTTTTTTAGATGAAAGAACTTGGTGGTACCAGATGGTACTCGCCTGATCAGTGCAGAACTCAACTTCAACTTCTTGACACGAAAGAGCAGCATCGTGATCGCACGAGTGCATCGCCATCTGCTATGTCTGACCCTGCTCCTATGACACCTACTGTGTCTCGAAAAAGACGTCGAGCTCAGTCCTTGGAATTGGACAGTGACAACGAGGAAGCAACTATTTAGATTCAAGAGCCATTCTTTTTTTCCCTTCTTATTCTTCTTCTACTACTACTTCTCATTTCTCATTACTTGTTCATTTTCAGCTTGACTTTGTTCGTTTCTCATTCAATGGTCTCTTTATTTCTTTTTATTTCCATTCTAAGATCAATCTGATCGATTCCTCACCCCGACTCTCACCGCGATTGTCACAACTAGCCTCGGATTGGACAGGGCTATGTTTGCAGAGCTGGGAGACATTGCTATTACACCATTCTCTACATATTTTTTTTTCTTATTTTTTTTATCTCAAATTTCATTTTCATTTTCATATTCTTCATATTGTAATCATGTTCCTGGACTTTTTGCTCTCGGGTTTGATGTAGCACCTATGTTGTAAGATGATGCAGTAGTGGCTCAGGTTCGGGGCTGTGAAGCGCTAAAAATTTAGATTATCTACGAGCAGCTATTTTTGGATATCAAGTTGACGTATTGGCCATTTTCCTATGGAAGTGATACTGATATACAATAGAGAGCCAATTTCCCACTCTGCTAGGATCTATTATGCCGTGAATGCGGATGACAATTAGCACTCGAATTCCTAAATCTCCCATTTATTCGGGGGTGGTGTAGTTCTTTTTTATTATTATACAACATTGGGAGTGGTAGCCCACATTAACTAATGCATATGAGGAAGATATTGAAGAACTATGTCCGTGTTAAAATTATATTGCACCCGTAAGTACTAGACCAATATCATTGGGCCATATCAGAGTACGTCCAAGGATGAGGTATCGATATTTCAATTCTATACAACGCAAAGATTTAACTTCTGGTTAATGTCGACGGGATCTGAGAGAGACACAGGTTTCACTTCCTTTCAGATAAAGTGTATAACCATTGAAAACAATAACAAAACATCAACGCTCATCGGAAGAAGGTAAAGAAAAGAAAAGATCGGAAGCCTAAGACAATCTCTAGGACAATGAGGAGCTATACCACGTGCAAAATAGCCAAGAGTATACAACAATGGCTCTGTCCTTGATCAGAGACTCTGACTGAGAATCTCATAGGGCTAACAAAACAAACAGGCAAAACAGTATCGTTTGTCATTTGTTCTGTTGAGACAGCGAAGCCATCCAAACAAAGGGATTTAGGAAAAGACAAAGGCTTCATGTTCAGACTGATATCTGAATCGGACCGTTTCTCTGGATAGATAAAAAGAAAAAGACAAGAAAAGTGATTCCTACCTGGAACTAGCCTAGAAGATGAAAGGCAAGTACCCCAAGATCCCAAACACAGACTCAATCTGTTTCTTCGGTGCTTTGCATAAGAAGACGAGATGAGAACCCATTTAACCCATCATTTCCAGGAACAAGACCATCCAATCTCATCATGGATGCCCCAGACTTTACAATCCCCGACGACGATCATGTCAACGGCGCTTCCAGCGAGAACGTCCCGAAGTCCAAGAAGACTCGTCGCAGCCGCTACGACCCAGAGCCAGACTGGTCGGCCATGGTGCGTGCCAAGGTCACGAAGACCCAACATCGTGTCGGCCAGGCCTGTGATCGTTGCAAGGTATGTCTACCATATGTCGATATTGTGTTGGACTTGACTCAGAACACCACACTGACACATTTGGATTGATCTCTAGCTCAAGAAGATGAAGTGCACACCTGATCCTGGAGGCTGCGCTTGTTGCCTCATCCTCAACATCCCATGGGTTACTGACCGTGTCACCGGTGAGACCTGGGTGCGTGGTGAGGCTGGCCGGATGCGGGCTATTATTGAGAGCCTCAAGAAGCAGACTGAGGACCTGAAGGAGCAGGTCACGCAGCTTCAGCAGAAGAACGCACAGCTACAGGACTGTCTGGACGGTTCGTACAGAGCCAATCTCATGGATCACTACGAGGTATGTTTTTGTTCTCGTCTTCTCCATGATCTATCTTGCGTTGTATCGTTCTGATTATTCAAATTTGAGGATTAGGGCTAACTCAATTATCAGCAGGACCTTGACCCCGGACACCATCACCAGAGTCTATTGTGATTGTGATGCATTTCTTTGTCCGTGCTATTCCATAGACAGTTTATCATGCGTCATACTTTCTATTTGCATCCTGGCCTGCCCAAAATGAAGTGTATGATCGAGAAAATGGCAATAGAAAATGGCGACAAGATTTGTTGTATGAGTACATAAATGCTCGTATTCTGAATACCTGGGGACTTATGGTCTTTTAGCCAAGTAACGAGTGAAAGATTCCGTACAGTAGAGTGAGAAAAGAAAATCTATTTGTCTTATTTCCAAAAGGACATGTCAATGGGTATATGTACGTGGCCATGTAATCCCAATTCGTGCGCCGGGTATCCAAAATAGAAATGCAATGCAAATAACCATCGCCCTTTTACCAGCTGGCATTCTTCTTCCAGCAACAACAGATTCCTTTGCTTTCACACCATTCCCTGACAGACGCGGTACCAACCTCGCGATCCTCGCCCACGAGACCAAGCCCCTCAATATTGAGCCAGGCTGTGAAATCTTCTAGAACGATAGGATCGTACATGAGGATTTTTTCATGCCATGTCGGTCGACTTCGGCTGCCGCGAGATGATGACAAAGGCGAGAGCCGAGACTGGAGGCGAACAGCTTGCGTGATCTGTGCAGATATCTCCGCCAGACTAATTTCTTTAGAGGATTCTGCCATGTGCATGGTTGCGATGAATGCAGAGGATGGTGGTCTTTTGGCTGGAATATCAGAAACAACCTTGCGCTTGGTGGGGCTTGGTGATGGTGTTTTTGTGAGGATATCCAAGGAGTGGTCTTGCACCCGGCTGCCGGTCTTGGATTTCGAATAGATGTCGGTATAGTGCTTTTGTACTTGACTTGGGGAGGGGATGATTTCTTCTTCTGAGTCTTGGATCTCTTCTACATCAATGAATGACGTAGTAGTCCCAGTGATAGGTTTCCCTCTTGAGTTTTTCTTTGGGCTTGTTTGAAGATTGGTTCGCGAGGCGGAAGTTGATTTTGTCGCGTCAAGTGACTTTCGGTTCTTAATAGATGTTCCAGCTTTAGGCTTCACCGTAGCCTTCGACTTCGCAGCAGAGGTGGATTTTGGAACATTGTCCATTTTAGAGGCAGGTTCGTTCTGTTGCTCGAGTTGGCATATAGGCTGGCTGTCAGAAGCAGCATTGCTACCACTACCGTGTTTTGATTCCCAACATTGTTGAAGGAGATCGATCATCTTCTTGCGGCCGCGGACTGCCTTGAAGCCATAGGAGGAGACCTGTTTAGACAACTCTGCGTCTGTGAACCCGGTATATTGTGGCATTGAGGGTGCCTGCGAGCTAGCTGGCTGGGAATCAACCGCTTCAGTTGGGGTATTATTGGCTCCCTTTGCAGGCTTTGCAGGCTTTGCAGCTTTTACCACGGCCGTAGCTGTTGCCGTAGCTGCCGGGATCGGAGCCGGAGCTTGAACCTGCGTGTCTAAATCCAAGACCCTTTCGGTCGGTAGTGGCGATGGTCTCCTTTCTGAAGGTGAATCTATGTCCGCGAATTCAAGCTCATACCAATCACTCTGAAGAGGTTTGTGACTGGGTTTTTCCACGTTGTCTTGACTCTTCTTTCCAGGGAATTCTCCCCCATCCGTCAAGTCAACCACATTTAGTGTTTCTGGTTGAATCAAAGATCCTTCGGTGTCTCTGGCGCCAACACACCACAGATTCCTGGTGCCTGCCAGCTTTGATACAAAACGAGTAGACGATTCTTGGATCGCGCTGGGATCCTTATTGTGCGTCCCATTTGAATATGAAAGACCTTCGGAGGCATGGATGGCTTGCTGGGTTTCTCGCAGAGTCTGGGGCGAATCGTCTTTTTCCAACTGACTGCAGCTGCCGAATATAAGATCTTGATCATTCAGAAACTCGACAGCTGCTTCCGGGGAAAGTACAGTGGACGAAGACTGCTTCTCTGTCTCTTTGGCCTTTTTTTGTCTCCCTTTTGTCGTTCTGATGCCTGGAAGACAATCAATCACCGGCTCATCCTCCTCTGCATCATTTTTTGAATATTGCGCAGTCATGCGCGCCGTCAACGTGGTAAACTTCTTAGGTTTGCCCTTGGTTGTCTTTTTGGGCTTTCCCGTGTTCTCTCCTTGGCCAGATGACTGGTCACTTGAATCAGAGTACCTTCCATTGAGCAATGCTTGAATTTCAGGATTGACCAGCTCTATACGCCGACGCTTTGTTGGCCCTTCGCCATTTGCATTCTGCACAAGGTCGGGGGGATGTAAAGCTGACCCAGAGTAATTATAGTCGGATACCAGCTTGCCAAACCCACCCGTAAGGTCCGGATCACGGTCCTTATTCTGGCTGCCACGATCGGTCACAGTAGCGATTTCCTCGTAAGAGGTCTCCCTTGGTGGTGTCCAATCCATCCTTCTCCTCATTGCCTCGTCCAGATGCAACACCTCATCCTTTCCTAAAGCATTCGATTCCTTTGGTGTGGATTTCTCAGGCGTATCCTCCGAAGGAGATAATTTCGTGGCAACTGCCTTCTTCCCACCTTTGCTGGATTTCTTCGCTGGTAGATCGCCGCATGTCTTCGTAACTTTCCCAGCCAATGTCATATTTCCCGAATCTTTACTCTTGGCATTGCTTCGAGAACGACTCTTGGTCGGTTTCACTGCGTCATTCTTTGTGCCAACAGCCTCTGGCTGGGGTTCCCCAAGCGCAATTGTTCCTGGCGCATCCGCCACTTTCTTCGTCTTCCGCCGCGGTTTGCTCGGTGGGATTTGCTTGCTGGTTTCTGAAGCAGGATCCTTCTTTGTCAATCGCTTTTTCGGCTTCGACGCGTCGGGACACTTGTTGCTCGCGACTGGAGTGGGAAAAAACCGGGAACGCGTATGAGGTTGGGACAAATCAGATGTCGAGCGTATTGGCGGTTGCGTTGCACCCCGTGGCAAGGCGTGAGAGACAGGCTTTGCATCATGCCTACCCGGCCCCGGCGACCGCGGTGGATGTGGAGAGGACGACAGAATTATCACATCTGCCATGCTGGCCATCGTGGCGAGTCGCGTCTTGGGTGTTTGTTTGATCGATCAGGGCGAGTCGAGTGTACTGCTGGAGTTTATTATATCAGACATCTCCTAGACAACGCTTTGTCTGAAGAGAAAATAATATAAAGTGTATGCAAGTTGGGTATGTATGCTGGAGAAGCAGCGTTTTGAGACAGAAGTACAATGTTTCCAAATGTCGGGTCGATCGGCCGCGGTCTTGGCAAACCTTGGAAGTTGCAGGATTGCCGTAGATTGCCGTTTTGAGCTAAACGGTATGTACATAGTTCGGTCGGGCAACCAACTGCATTCGCAGAGTAGATTCATATTAAATATATTTATGCTAAATGGCTTTTGGGGTCAATACATTCTCATTTAAATAAATGTATTTTTACTGTCTTATATCACACTAAGCAACGGTCAGGACCAGGCGCGTCGAACTACTCCGTACAAAAACATGCTTTGCACCTCTGGAATATTTCGTTCAATTCGTCAGTCGTGACTTTATACACTGTCTCAGAAGAAATATCTGTGGTGTTCTCTGCTCAATCTCGGGGCCGAGAAACAGTAGACCTCAGAAAATTCATGGTGATCTGCTTGTGATTGATGCTGGGGTATATTCTCAAGTCGAAGCCGATTTGGAGCACAATATATCCCACTCGAGAACAACAGCACGACTTGGAAAATGAATATTTTCCACTCGCCCCATGGTAAACTTTAGGGATTTCGGGCACAGTGAATTTGGTTGTTTCATATGAGCAATTTCTCATGATCCCCTCAAGGCGATTGCACTCAACAAGGAATTTTCGAGTCGTTGCTTAGCCTCGTCATTCTCCTTGGCGGTTGGCGAAGGCAGAGCTCCTAGCTTGTATGCTTTCTTGATCTTGTTGATATCAGAGATATCAGAGAGTGTCTGGTCATCGAAAAGCACAGGTGTGCCTTGAACCGAGCTTCCCAAGTGGGCCGCGACGGATTCATGTGTTATCTCCGGAGAGACAGAGACCTTGACCACCAACAGGTCTTTGGTTGAATCAGTAATACCGAATCTACGGAATGATTCGGCGATCTAAGTCCGTGTTAGCCCCGGCTTCAGTGGCAAACTTGCAGCTAATTCCTAGAAATGGCAACCCACATTATTCGTAGGGTTCAATGAGAACACGATCTCCGAATGCACATTACGAGACTTCAGTCGATTGTGCATGTAATCATTAACTGCTCTGAATACTGCAGCAGTGGCGTGAGCCCTTGACAAAACCTGTCGCTTGTTGTTAGAGGACTAGTCCATTTCTTAGTTCTCGAAGACAACTTAACATACCATGCTTGCATCAATGAATGCATACTCGAATTCTGTATCGCCAGCGAGAAGTTGACCTTTCAAAAAGGCGGCATTTTGAATATTGCGATATAGAGCAACATGCACGGGCATCAATGGTAGATGTGGCAGGCTGATCGTCTCTAGACTTGATGCCATGACTGAGATCGAACTGAAATCGAAAGTAAAAGAAGATGACGTATGTGTAATCAAGCCGATCTGATAAAAAGAATTAAATTGAGCCCTGCTGTGAGTCTACAAACCCATCCCACTTCTTGATCCACGTGACCAGTTCTGGAATTTTCCGGACTTAAGCGGTCGCCGGCGGAACATGAGTAATCGTCTCCATATCACCCGTGGGCCTGACATTTAAACATATCCTCACTCTTGACTCTTGACACTCTCCATCGCAAACATGGCTTTCTTTTTACGGCGCCCGTTCGCTGTATCCTCGGCACTTCGCCAGGTCCCTAAGGTCACGAACACCGCCCGATTCATTCACAACTCTCCCATCAAGCCCACCCAAGCAACCAAGCCTCAGGGCATTTCGTCCTCGATCTTCGCCAAGTCCCGACAGAACTTCCAAAATGCCTTCCGCCGTACATACATGCAGCAGAGCTTCAACCCTGCGCAGGATGGTAACATGACCCAGAAATTGGTGTATGGCGCTGCCATTATTGGTGGTACAGTTATGGCAACCAACTTCATCTTCAACCGTGAAACGAGAGAGGATGGCGGCATGCCTGCTTACGAGCGGAGCTTCTTGAACGACACTTTCATGCACACTGGTCTTGGTCTTGGTATCATTGGTGTGGCGGCTCGCGCCCTCCACATGAACGGCTGGTCTTATCGTCTCATGGCTATGAACCCGTGGCTCGTCATGGGTGTCGGTCTTGTTGGCAGCATCGGCTCCATGTACGGCACTTTCTACACTTCCCCGGATAAGTAAGTTTTTTGCCCTCCCATATTTGTTTCTTCCGAAAACATATGAGCTAACTTTTCAATTAGCTACGTCATGAAATATGGCTGCTGGACTGCCTTCAACCTTACCCAGGCTGCTCTTCTCTCCCCCTTGATGTTCATGAACCCTGCCATTCTCGCTCGTGCTGGTCTCTACACTGTTGGTATGATGGGCTCAATCGCTTTTGTCGGTGCTACTGCCAAGCAAGAGAAGTACCTGTACCTGGGTGGTCCCCTTCTTGCCGGAGTGACCATCGTTGCTCTCTCTGGTCTCGCCCCCATGGTCCTTCCTGCTACTGCTGTTCGCACTCTGATGTGGTCCGAGCGCCTCTGGCTGTACGGTGGTCTTGCTGTCTTCGGTGGTTTCACTCTTTATGACGTGCAGAAGATTCTGCACCATGCTCGTCTGGCCGAGCGCGGCTTGATCAAACGCGATGTGGTCAACGAGTGCGTCAGCCTTGAGTTGGACTTCATCAACATCTTTATCCGCATGGTCCAGATCCTCGGCATGGGCAACAACCGTCGTTAAACTACTTTATATCCACTGTATTAACTTTGCAACCTGATTCCCGGTTCGTCTAACACCAGGATTGGTGTTTCGCTTTTTTTTTTAGTCATTGGCTTTTAACCCTGTATTTGAACCAACTGTTTATCTTTTGTACACTTTTTTTTTTTTTGTTCTTTAACTTTGATGGTTCTTCAGATGGACAAGCGCAGCATCGCTGTTTTGTACTTGCTGAGAGACATATACTAGACAGGGTAGCAAATACAAATCTCCACTCCCTTGACATTGCTGCATACTCCGTATGTTGTAGTTGACGATGATCCGAGTCTGCAAACTCCGGCTTTGAAAGAGTAAACATGAGGCTACACCTGGGCATACAAATCGTCAATGCGATGAAACATGATAGCGACCTAGTAGTCAAGTATGTATATGGATATAATTCTAAGTGAATTTGTGTAGCCACATCAGGCTTTGGATAGGGATGTAATACCATGACTGGCTCTCTGCACCGAGACTATACATTACTACCCAGCATTTTGTTACTCCCAAGGTTGGATTAGGCTCAGAGACATACTAAGAAATTCAGGTACATGTTACGATTCGAACTTATCAGATGCACCGAACTAGAAAGGGCAGTTGTGGTCATGTGATTGCTAGCTTCCTTTAACTGGTAGGTTGCCCAAGACCGCCCAAGAGACCGCCCAATAATACCGCCCTCCACCCTTTGCAGACTTCATATCGCGACACAGACCCAGACTCATTGACCATTACGGACGTGCAGACTAAACCTAATACCTACACAGTCGCATCAGTCTTCTTGGTCCCCTGCCTTACAATATGTCGAACGAAATGGAAATTGACCCTCCCGTGGCCCACGACGATGCTCCCGAGCAGTCGGACCGCAGTTTTGAGCCACGCACCCAGGGGAACGCGGTCGCCGTGCGTAGTATCGAAGGATGGATTATCATCGCATCTAATATCCACGAGGAAGCATCCGAGGAAGATGTGACTGAACTCTTTGCGGAGTATGGTGAAATCAAAAACTTCAGCTTGAACCTTGATCGGCGAACGGGTTATGTCAAGGTGCGCATCCTCAATCCCACAACTACCTCTGAACCTTAACCTCAGGAACGTCTCTTCTTGGAATATGGGGATATTTGTCAACCCACGTTCAATGGAACGATAGCTAACAGCACTATTCCGGTAGGGCTACGCATTGATCGAATACTCCACTCTCCCCGAAGCCAGTGAAGCTATCCAGAACCTTAACGGTTACAAGCTCCTTGAACAGACGCTCCATGTCGACTATGCATTTGTCCGCCCGCCCCCGTCAGGCAAGCACAAGAATGGAGGGCCAAAGGGCCGGGCTACTCGGAATCGCAGCAGAAGCCCCAACCGGAGTCGCAGCCCCGAAGCTGGCGGCGACCGGGACTAAGCTTCCCTAAGGGACGGGAAATGATAGAATTTAAGCAGCATACATTGCTTGTGGCCTTCCATTTGATACCTGGGCTTTGCTTTTTCTCACATTTTCTTTTTCCTCAATACCTCGCGCTGTTTCGTTCGAACCTTTGCCCACCCTTCCTGCCAGAACTTTGTCTACAAATGATGGACATATCATCTAGTATCCGCCGGCATGACCCCTCCTCAATCGAACCTGTATGGGTCCACAGGCCGAGTGTGGGTGTGCATGGGACACATACACACAAGAGGTACGTGCCGGCGCCACGATAGATTGTCATAATGGTATGGAAATCCACACTTAACTTTTGACTACAGTTGTGCTGATTTCAACTCAGAAAAGAAAGGCTGTTTGATGAAATTTGAAATTGGTGTATGAGCATCTGGTCAACAAAGACAACCTTGGACCTCAAAGCCCAGCGTCTGGGAGTAATGTACATTATGAAAGCATGGGTTTTCTCCGGTATAAGCGGCCTCTCATTACGTCCACTTGTCTTGTGACTCATTTCAAGCAAAGTCAAAAATGGTATCTTAGCACTCCGTAGTACGGAGTATATGGTGTCGTATTGCTATGTAGGATCCCTTACAGCGTGCATCATGCGACAGCCATGTGGCGCTGGAGTCGATAAATTAACTTTGGACCCTAGAGATAGTATAGTAGAACCAGAAGGCTCCAATGATTTCACAACGTGATCATAGCCTTGGAAGGCTTTGATGCCAATACAATTGATGTGGATGTCCTCACCAGCCCCCGGCCAGCGGGTCTGGTGACTA